ACTGGTAGTTAAGTGAAAGTGACTTTTCGATTGAACCTTATGCCAAGAAGAGGGTGAGGTTTCTTTCCCTGTAATGGGCTTGTATTTGTTATTCCTCTTCATTTGATTTGCATCAGAGGTGTGATAACTTCTCTTTTTTTTCTAATCCCACAGGTTGGAGATATTGTGAAGGTTACAAGGATGAATATAAATGGTCAGTGGGAAGGAGAAGTCAACGGTCGAAAAGGGCTGTTCCCCTTCACACACGTGAAAATATTTGACCCTCAAAACCCAGATGAGAACGAATGACTCCCTCAGCCCAATTTACACTGCTGCTTCATTTTCCTGGCTATCATTAGCATTGTTTGAGGTGGGATGATGACTTAATGGCACATTGCTAGCATTGCCCATTTTCCAGCTTGCTGCAGTTTGACGGTTCTTTTAATATACATTTGGAGTACATACAACTGAAGTCACTGCCTGACCTTCATACCGTAGTTGCATCATCCAGAGTTTTAGTTTCACTTTTAAAACTATTGGGCCTTAAGCTGGAGAAGACTGAACCGTAATATTAGCAGAGAGGTATGAGAAGAAAACCTTTCCTCTTGAGACTTCCATGGACTTTTTCTAGTTTGCTCAGTAGGAAGAGCCCTAATCTTAGATCAAACATGCAACTCGTGTATTACTGTCCAACAAAAAGCAACAACAAAAATGCAATTTTAGGACTGAAGAAGATTTAGTTTTAAAATTACCTTCCTAAGGTAGTACATTTAAAATGATGGTCTCTTCAAAGGACAATAATTGGAGCTTATGTATTCTAAGCAGTTGTATTAGACACTGCTCCTTTCTGTTAACTCTTAAGCTTGTTGTTGACCTTCTTGAAACAGTGTGTGTTAAATGCAAATAACCATTGATTGAGCTGCATTGAAGCTGAGGCATTTATTTATAAGGAAACTTAGGAGGGTTTGATACTTGTAACCTGGTTTTGACATATTTAATGACTTTCTATGATTTTTGCAAGCACTAACTGTAGAAAGTGAGCTTTAAGGGGAAAACACTTTGGCCTGGTCTATATACAGCTCTTCTGCAGTGTTGAAAGTGTAGTTTTACTAGTATAGAAGTGCTCATCTATTACTTGATAGACAGATCAGATTGCCATGGTGTGGAGAGGTAGGAGAGGAGCAGGACAGAAGAACTTGCTAAATAACTGATAAAATCCTCTTACTTCAACAATTAAACACCTTTTATATTCATTTCTCTGTAGGCTCCCTGCTCTCTCCAAAGTTTCCTAACTATGCCAGCCCCAGCTCATTGAAAGCTCCTTTTCAAACACAGTACCTTTTTTTCCAGGGTGTCTCTGTGTTGCTGTGCTTCTCTTCCAGGGCTGCTTTCATCTTCTTTTGTTCTTCTCTCTTCTTCCTTGCTTGTACCCCAAGTCCTCTGCATGTTATCATGGGTTTCTTTTACTCTTCCAAATGAGTTGGCTCTGGTTTATATATGCCCCAGGTCCCTCCCCCTCCCAGCATCCTCTAGAAAATGGTTAATTGGAGTCAGCTGCCTGGGTTCCCCATGTGATAAGTCAGTGTTCAGGCTGGAGGAGGCCACAAAGGTGTCTGTTATCAGTACAACTTCTTCCCTATTTCTGTACCTAAGCTATCCTGCTGTAATTGTACCTACAGCAGGGAGCACATGGCTGCAGGAAGTGCAGTCCATGCCAGGCAGGTGCTCATCCTGAGCCTGGGTGCAGGATATCAAAGCGTAGGTGCAGTGGAATCCTGTGCCACCTTCTTCAAATGTGTGTTGTAGGTGAACTGGAATGCTCTTTTTAAAATGATGGAATGCTGAATTAACAGAATACATGTGTGCAGAGACTACAACCAGAAAACCTCCCTTTTCAGACAACCTGGTTAAAGCAAATGTCCAGTGTGGAAGCTACAGGAAAGCAGCAGCCTCCGTTTTTCAACTTTTGAAGGCTGTCAGTTGTAGCAAAATGAGAAACGTCAAACACCTGCTTATAAATGTCAAATGATATAAACATTGTCTTAAGCTCCAGCACATTTTCTTGTTGATTTGTGTTACTTGATCCTAATAAAAGCATGTTGTTCTTAGTTCACATGGAAGTGCCATGAGATCCTAAGCTGGAAGGCATTGAACTGCAAAAATGGCATTTGCAACAAGACATTCAAAGTGCCGGGTTTTAAAGAAGTCTCTCCGTTCATCTATTAGCTGTTTTCTGTAGTATTGATCGAGTGGCTGACAGTCTAGAAGTTCTTGTAGAGCATTTTACTACCAAATTAACTGTGAAGTAGAGTAGCATTGACTGAATTGTTTGGTGCTGTAATTCTTGACAATAGGCATTGACATTTTGTCTTGCAAAGAAAAGCTATGCAGCTCTTAACTAAGAAGGTCATGCTTTTCCTGTGCCCCGACGATACCCACACGTTTACTACACAGATTGTACTACTGAAAGTCATCTTTTGAATACAGAAACTGCACTAAACTCAGTCTGCTGCAGAGAAATCTTATTTCAGGCCTGACCTAGTTACAGGCAGCTCTTCAGAAGACTGATGGTTGAATTCTTCCTTTGCGTGGTAAATAAATACTGTGAGATTTGAGATCTTGAACACAGCTTTTAACCTGATTTTTTTTTTTCACTGAAATAAATGTCTCGACTCATCCCCTCCTTGAATAAGGTGTACACTTTGAACACAGATGTTGGTTTAGGTTTAATTATGTTCTGCAGAAAAGCAAAACATTTTCCTTCAAAACTATGCAAAATTTGTGTGTAGTGGCATCTGATGCAAAGACAAGAATTCTTAAATTTCTGTTAACCTGGTTTTGGGCCACAAATGAACAGTGTTTCTCCAAGTAGCAGTGGTGTGGTTCAGGTATGTAAAATGTGGTTTCAATGTAGCATACTGACCAGCCTAAGCTGATTGTAACCTTGCTTCAAAATGTGTCTTGGCTATTTTACTATGAGACAAGTATTTTCATATAAAGACTGCATTTGATCAGTGTGTGTTTCTCTGTGAAGGACTCTGGATTCTCAATCGCTTGTCGCTTGCTTACACGTGTGCTGTCTGTTGCTTTATGAAACCTCTTAAATTGGAGTGATAACCTATCAGTGTAAATGTTCTTGGGCGTGTAAGGTAACCTTAATATGAAGCATGAGAGCCTACAAGTGATGGCTTCAATCTATGCACCATTAAAGTTGTTCTTGCTTTGGAACTAGGAGCTGGTGTAATGACCTGGTGCCACAGTAGGCTTAGTGCTTGGCTTCCTCCTGCTGTGTACATGTGTATATAGACGTTGAAGCCTCTGACCAGTCTGAAAGTTTAAATGAAGACTGTTTTAATCAGTGTCCATCACTGGATAAGCGCTAATTTAATTCATGATTGTTTACAAATTGGGAAAGAATAAACAAAAGGGAATATCCTGTTTGGGTTGAGGCTCTGAAGAGCCTGAGCATTATTTTTGTAAAGGGAAAAACAGCATTCTTTGTGCCATTTCATGTGCCTGTAAATGAATTTTTATATTGTATTAACATCCTGGAAATGAGTGGGCTGCCTTTGTTTTCTAGTCCAGTTTTCAAGCATTTTCCTCAATTACCTGCTTTTGAAAGTGAGACCTGCCTAAAAGACTGCCTTTTGGGACCAGTGAAAGCGTTCCTGTATAGTTGTCATTTTCTGTTTATTTGTGTTTAAGTGTGTTTTGGGTCAAGGATACAATTATTGCAGTGGGAAAGGTGGCCTTGTATTTGAGACAGTCTTCACTGTGTAAACTTTTAAACACAATATGTAATTTAAAGACCATGATCTTCAGGCAATAATATTAAGTGTAAGCTTTTAAAATTTATTTTGGGGATCATAGCTTGTTTTATTTTTTGTGCTATGAAATTAACAGTATTAAATGAATTATATTCTTAGAATATATGGAGTGTCTTTTCTTAAGATTAGTGCCTTTTTAATTTCTTACTCCACTTAAATCATAGAACTGGTCCCAACATCAAGCCACTGTGTTTTTTTCCCCAGTGCCCTGTTTGTACAGTCTAAATAAAACTCGCCTCAACTTACAGTATTATTTGTTGTCTTTAGTCTTAAAACCTTGACAATAACAGCAGAGTATGTAAGCCCTTACTCTGTCATTATGATGCCCTGTTTTGTGGGTGAACAGAGTGCCAACTGAAGTTTTCCAGAATCAAAGGAAGAATTAAGCAGGAGAAAACACTGTTGCCAGGCTGAATGATACTTCCCTGTTTCATCCTCGTGCCTCTCTCAGACTATTCTGCTGGGCTCTGGAGGTTCACCTGAAAAAGATGCATCTCTGGTTATCCAGATTATCACTGTCTCCTCCACCCTCACGCCCGACACGTCACTGATCTTCCTCCACTGTATGTAACGCTGCTCTTTGGCCAAGGCTTTTAAGGGTCTGGAAATCATGACCTTTGTTTACTGTGATACCCTTGACTGTGCTTGTAAGAGTGACTGATTTATGCAAATGGTTTGAATTTAGCTTATTATTGATTGAGTAAATAAGGTGTAACCTGTGCAGGTGCAGGAGAGGGGAGTGACTGGCATCCTGGCCCCTGCTGAGAGGTGCCGGTGTAACACATCAGAAACGTCTCCTTTTGGAAGTGAGAACCCGGATCCTGGTCGTCTTTTGCCTTTTTAGTCAATCCAGATCAAGAGTAGCACTAAGTAAACTTAAGGCTTTTCAGTTAAATCATTAACAAGGTGTTGATACTTGAGATGATCCTGTATAGGAGGAAAACTTAAGAGGAACATCAGACACTCAACTGCTGCAAAAGAGAAGCCTACAAAGCTTGCATTGGCTCCCTGAACTCTGTAGGTATGGTGACAGCCTTGTGTTTGTCTTCTCTGGAGTACAGATTTCCATGTGATGTTAATAAACATTCATAGCCAACTCTGCATAGTGTCTTATCATCAAATAGTCACATTTGGCAAGTTACATTTCGGAAAAAAACAGTTGTGTTGTAATGACACAAGCAAGAACAGGTCAGGTACACGCAGTGGGATTGATAATCCTGTTTCAAGCTGCTTTGTGTGCATTTGGCTTCCTGGCAAAAGCTGGCAGTGTTGGCCTGTTGCTGTGGCTGCTTCTCATGGCATCTTTTGCTTTATGTGGCAAACCCAAGTGTTTCTGCTCTTCCCTCCGTGATCTGCTTCCTGCACACTGGATCACAACGTGGGTGCCCTGCGAGGTGCCGATGAAGGCAGGTGCTGCACACCCCTCCCAGTGCAGGGTGTGCCAGGGCTTGGTTCTGTTCTGGTACCACCCAGGCTTCTCTGACACCCCGGGGAGTGGAGGTGCCTGGGATTCACTGCTCTGAACACTCACCTTCTCCACTGGCTGGCACAGCCCTCCCCTCGCTGCAGCTGGGATGGGGGATTTGTACCAGGAGTGCCCAGCACAGCAGCCACCGAAAGCTCCAGCAACAGCCAAGTGTGCTCAGCCGAAAGTCAAAGGTAACGAGAAACAAGCAGTAACTGCACCTGGGTGTATTTCTGGCTTACCTGTATCCAGGCTCTCACCAGTGCAAATCTGAACTAGTTTAGTTAGGTCAGTCCTACAACAGGCAGTATAAGCCTTAATTTTTCTGTGCCAGCTGGCTGGGATGAGTTGGGTTCATCAGTTTGTCATCACACTGGTTTAGAAATAAAACCTTTTAAATGAGTGACAAACACCTCTCTAGGACATACCCAGAGGTGTGTCTGTTGGAGCTTAACACCAGTAGGAAATACACCTAAATACACTCAGATAAAATGCAGCCACAGCAGAACACAGTTCCTTGTAGTTTTTTTACATGATTTTTCACAGTGTAGATTGTGCACATACGAAAGCTCTTCAGGTCCACACTCACCAGCAGGGACAGCTCACCTTAGAGCAGCTGTAGCAGTTTCTATCCCCTTCATTGTCCCCTCTGCCTTTTTTTTAGAGGGCAGGTCAGCTGCTCCCGTAGCAGCTGTTGGACCACCAGTCACAGCTCAGCGGGGCAAGGTAAAGCAGTTCCAATTTCAGGAAACCTCCATACCCCGAGCTGTGAACTGGCAGTTGCTGTGCAAACAGCTGAGCCCCCCTGCAGCAGGACCACGTGTCCAAGCAGGACAGGCAGGCACAGGGAAAGAAAACATCACAGCTGTCCCAGAGTGAGCCTCCTGCTCCAAAATCCAAGCCCTACAAGCTTGCCTAGAGCCAAAGTTGCACCAATTACTGTGACTCATTAACACAGATTGGTGTGTGCCCACCTTGGGTCTGGTTATCCACACACTGCTCCAGCTGCCCACCATGGGAGCAGCCTGGGAATCCAGCACCCACCACTGTGACTTGGACCCATCCCTGCTGCTCCAGACTGGCACAACCCTTGGGAGCTAAAGCTGAGCTACTGCCCCTGCTCAGTGCACCCTTCATGTGCCAGGTGCAGCCTCACCTGTGGAAGACACCATCCACGCTGCTTCCAAGGTAGGCACGGGGAGCGAGGGATAGGGAATTAACACAGTGCTCCCCTCAGATAACCTTCCCAGCACCTGCTTACTTCATTCCGGGCATTTTGTAACTAGAACCCTCCCTGCACGAGTTATTAGTCTAACCCGCCGCTGGCGCACCAGACAATTGGGATCAGAGCTAAATCTGGGGTATCCGCAGGGAACTGGCTCCTGCTTTGTGCGTCCTGGCTGGTCCAACAAGGGCAGCTGAAAGTCAGCGCTGAAAAATCCGTCACTTGCTTTTGGTCTAGAAATGTATCACTAAAGCACAAGGGACAGGGTGGATCCCAGGGACTGTTAACCCCCTGCGCCGCACTGTGATTCCCAGTCTGCACTATCCACTGAATCCTCTCCAGACCCTGGAGCAAGAGCAGCTCTCGCTGGGCTCTCAGATGGTGGCAGGGGCAGAAGGGCAGCGCTGGGTGTGCTGCTTTGCCTTCCCCCAGCTTGCCCTGCACCTGAGACCCAACTGACTTGGGGGCAGAGGCGAGTGAGGAGTGGATGCTGTTTTGAACAGACAGAAGGGACTGACAGAAGTGAACAACAGGAGTCGGTTTGAAACTCTTGGCACTCGACTCGTTTTCAGCCCACCACCATTCAGCAGCCAAGCTGGAGACCTCCAGGGATGCTCCTGACAGAAGTGACAAACCCAGCCACTGTTGCTACCCTTAACTTGTCATAAAAAATACAAGAAAATCAAACTTGCCCATTTTTCATTACTGTGAAGTAATGGCACTCTGTATTTCTAGACTGTAATCCCATAGTTTTTTAGTGCATTCTGTTACTTCACTAATTTGATCTGGACTATGAGGTAGTTCAGGGGCTCTCATGGGGACTTCTACATTCTGAATCCATTTCTGTAATCTTACACCATCTCTTTTTTGCCCTCATCTTGTGACCAGTGATACCATTAATCCACTGACCTTGAAGAGAAACAGCTTTTCTCTTTCCAGGTATCGCAGCTGGTGACTTGGCTCAAAGTCTGCTGTGAGGATGGATACACAGCACTGGACTGGATTCCTGCTGAGCATCAGCCTCACGCTCTGCAGGCACAAAAGAAACGTAATTCATCAGGCTTGGCCTTCCTTGTGTAAGAAAGAGCCACATCCCGTGAAGATCGAACACCTCCCGCTGTGCCCGACTACTTGGAATAGCTGTGCCTACTCGGCACTTTGGAGAACTAGACCTAAAATTAACAAAGATAATTTCCCTGCAAGAAATAGCACCTTGGCCTGAATGTGGGATACTTCAGCAGGAGTCTGAAACAGGAAGGCTAAAATTGGCTCCGGTCTGGGATTCTGCTGAATGGGCTATAACACAGGTCTGAGCACTGCATGCAGGACACGCAGCAGCGCTGGAAATCTCCAGCCAAAATCATCCCAAGCTGCAGGATGTATCCCAGTAGTGATGAAAAGGTTACTCCCAGTACTCAGTAGCAGCTCCTGCCTGTACAAGGCTGAGTGATCCACCTTCACCATCACTTAGTGACCATCTGATTGAGGCAGAGGTGGGTGCTGGGATGGAAACAGCTCTCCAGCTGGTGGGACAGAGTGCTGGATTTCTAGCAAGGCTTTGTGCTGTACAGCAATGAACGCCCACAGATCTCCACAGTGGTGTCTCTGGGATCAACACTGGCCTAAATTTAAACATACAAAAATAAAGACACATTGGAGAGCAGCCTAGGAACAGAAAGTGTGCACAGTCCTTGGCAGGGCAGTAAAGATGTGGGACTTCCATGCATCAGGCGTGCAGGGCTCATGCCTCCCACGCTGCAGTGCCCTGATTTCAGCCACACACTGCAGTCCTGCAGCCCAGGGGCAGCACTGCATTGGAACAGCTATGGAAAATGGAGGGGAGGAGATGATGTACCTGGAGAAGGACAGGCTGATTTAACACCCCTCCCTGCTGCCAAATGCTCTGTGGGCTCTGCAGTCATCACCCAAAATAGAGCCACAATCTGTGCCTCCTTCAAGAGACAGTCCCTGCTGGAAACATGTCAGGGCATTGCTGGGGCAGCAATTTACTGCAGGGAGCCACCTCAGGAGCTGCTGACACCGCACCCCACTGTACCTGGCTCCTTTCCCTCTCCCCCACCATTCGAGCTGCCTGTTGATGCTTGCTATAGCCTGGGAACAAGACACAGGGCTTGACCCAGCAAGGAATGTAGGCAGGGTTTGGGCAGAAATGAGGAAAAGTCCTGCATTAACCTCAGGGTGCAAGTCAGAAATCCACCACATGTGGCTGTCACCTCACGTCCAAGACACCTTGGCACAAGGGGTCCCTTCCGGTCCAGCCCCAGCCTGGCAGAGGCTGAGTGGCTCTGAGGCAGCCCCTGTGACAGCCTCTTCTCTCTGGGACTGGACATATCTTGTGCTTCCCAATGCAAAGACACATCCTCCCCACAGCAAGCAGCTCATCCCAGGTAACCTCCTCCTCCTCCCCTTGTTTTGCTGCCAAGGTCCCTCCCAAAACGTGAGCTGCTTCAGCCCCAACTTGCCCAACACTCAGCCTCTGTCAGCACCTGAGCAAGACGAGTCACGCGAAGCCCTCAGTCCAGACACGCCGAGACAGCACCAGAGCTTCACCCCTTGTGCACTGTAACCACAGAGCAACAACACAGATGGTCTCCTGGCTTTTCCCATATTCTCCACCACCTTGGGGTGCCCTCGCTGCCCCTTCCAGGCCCTCAGCACCTTTGCAGTAAACCCGGTGCAGGCTGCCCCAGCTGTCCCCTCGCAGGTCACACGCAGTCACTGGGTGGCACTGTGCCCCTGCCTGTGCAGCCGCCCAGCTCCATCCTCCTCCTCCGCTCCGGGCGGGACCGGGGGGCGGGGGGGACGGGGAGGAACCCCTGGCTGGGCCAAGGGGCAAAGGATCTCCTTGCCAAAATGGACCCACGTGTGGCAGCCAGAACTGACAGATGCCCGGGGACCCCGGGAGGTGACCCCAACACACAAACACGGGCTCCTGCTGCCTCCCTGCCAGAGTGTCTCTCCTCACTGCGGTTACATTTTCATTACCGTGGCAAAAGGAGATCAACTGCATCCTTACAATGCACCCCTCCATAAAACTAATAGGCCAGGCAATTGGGACAGCCCTGTGAAGTACTTTATAGTCTGGACTCAAGGAGTTTGTGCCACAGCTCACAAGCTGTCCCAGCCCCACATCCCAGGAATCACAGCATTATTTCTCCTCACTGTCCCTTCTTTTGAGCTGGGAGCAGTGTGAGGATGAGCATGGTGCCCTGATGCCTGGCTTGGCTTGTTTCCCATCACTCAGAGCCCCATTTGGCTCCAGTGGCACAAGGCTGACAGAAGCTTCCATAGGGATCATAATTTCCTCTTTCCAGGGCATCACGACACAGCTCTGCACTGACTCCAGGAGCTTTTACACCATCAGTGGGAGTCAAGGGCCAAGAGGCTGGACCAGAGCAGAGACCAGGGAGGCCCTTTGCCAAAGCTTTGCCATTTGCTTCATTTGCAGTTGAAAGCCAGCCAGGCTCACGGGAGGAGCAGCAGCTCCTCCAACACCACGATGGCAAAACATGGCAAAACCCACTCGGCTCTGTGAAAGACCCTTCCCTCCACACTGACACCCCGTGTTTGTTTGGAAAGCTGGGGGGACACATTTGGTGTAACGTGGAGCCCCATTTCGGAGGGTACCTGGTGGGATTTGAGGGACTGTTTTGCTTCCCATGTTGTTGGGGCCCAGCTGACCTCAGTGGTGCACTCCAAGTGTACCTGGAGCAGGGAGCTGGGCCCTGGCTCCAGTAGGGCCAGGTGGACAACACTGGGGACAACAATAACCAAAAGGAGCAGCAGCTGCCACCTTCCCTCTTCCTGCTGCCTAAAAGCAGCCCAAGAAAAGCTTCCTTTAATCGCTCCCTCTATATTAGACCCTTCCAGGGGAAATTAGCACAAGTGCAACACCAGTGGCACCAAGGGAACAGACCCTGAATGACTTGGAGGGGGGTTAATTAGTTTGTTAAAATCCTTCTCTCTTTAGTCGCCACCTACAGCTCCAAGCCTTGACAAACAGTTGGGAAAAAGGGTCACTGTTGAAAATCAATGCTCTTTAGAGGTAAGAGCTAAAGACCCTCCAAGGACCATCCTGTTGGGAAATAAAGTGGAGGAGACTGTTTCTCCACCATTAGGGTATAAGACAAGTGTTAGAAGGGAAAGCAAAAGGTTTCTAGGTCTCCATTAAAGTCAGAAGGGAGACAAAGAGCCCATTTCTCCCCTTTGATTTACTGTCTTTAATCTCTTTATCTTGGTGTCCCCACCTACCCTGCAGGACAGTAGCATTCAGACGTGCTGAAAAGCTTAACTTATGTTTGCAAAAACGATTCAGGATCCCCAGATACCAACTGACAGAGACTGCAAAGTGTTACTGCCCGTCCCTTTGGATGATGATCCCTTTGGAGCACAAGAGCTGCCGGCAGACGGGCTCTCCACTCCTGACATGCTGGTCAGGTAACATGAGTGTGCTGGGGAGAAGGAGCAACATCAGAAAGCCCCACAGCCCCTTACAAACAGTTTCCCCCTTTGATTAAATTAACATTAGACTGTATTGACCCCATAGAATTCTGTACAACTTCCAGTCCCCCCGTAGCTGCCCCGAGCACGGCGGTGCTGTCTGGTAACCTGCCACAGAGCTGCTGTGTGCCCACGGCGAGATGGGACCCTGCCAGCACTTCTGACACCTCCAGCACCATTTCAGTGTTGTGGTGGGAGGGCTACAGCTGCAGCTCAGTGATCTCCATGGGCAGCCCTTTGGGACTAAAATTTCCTCAAGTACCTGCTTTAAAGTTGGGACTGACTTCATTCGGCCTTCCCATCTGTGCTGCCCCATGGAGGGCAGAAGGACAGACAGTTCCAGCTTTAATCCAAGGAAAAGATTTCTTTGCTAGGCACAGGTGTGCCCTGCCTTCTATACTGTCCACTGGTGTTTGTATTTTAAAAGCCACTGCATCATTTGATTCTGCCCAGCTGTCTGAAAAAAAGGCTAACATCCTGTGTACTGCTGGGACCTCTTTGTCAGAGGCTGTGAACTCATCTCCATCCAGCACCAGGATGGATTGAACAAACTGAAGCAGTATTTTATTGCTCAAGCATAAAACATGGGAATAAACAAGCACTGAAGTGCTACTGATCATTAAAACCAGATGGGAGCCCATTTACTGCCTCCAGCAGTGAGGTGCCACGGCTGCTCTGCTGAGGCCCCCTTGAAATAGGAAACCCAACGCACCATCTGGGAGGTGCTGGATGGCAGTGGCTACAGGCAGCCCCTGCAATTCCAGGCTGGAGTTATCTGTACTGTCCTCTCACCACCATCCCAGGGATAACCAAGGAGTGACAGAGCTGTTAGTCCTGGCTCCAGAAATACAGTCACCTCTGTTAAGGTTGTGCCTACATGAAAATGCCCCGTTGAGGACAAGCAGCCCATCCAGGGCCAGTCCCATCGTCCAGGGAGGTGGGATGGGGAGAATCACAGGCCAAATTGTCCACACATAGAGCAGGGACTTGGCTGCATTTCAATTGTATTTGTTCAAATGCACATCAGAGAACCATCCCTGGTTCTGGTCACTCCTGCACAGTTCACCTCCCAGATGATGGTTTATCCAAAGCAGCCCAAGTCTGACCTTACTTCTTTAACCAACCACTGCTGTCTGGCATGGGAAGTACCATGGTGGGAAGAAGCCAGGGGCTATTTCCTCCCCTTCCTAATCAACACACCCACCACAGATAAAGGCACAAGGAGAGCATTCCCAGTCTAGAGTCCTGGAAACTGGCCTCCAGAAACAGCTCCATCCTGAGCACCCTCAGCTGCAAGCTGGGCTCAAACCCCTCCCTAGACTGAAGCTTTGCACCTTTGTCTCCAAGTCCCATCTCCTCATGGCAGGGAACCCTCTCAGCAGCCGAAACCAGAGCGCGGCATGGGGCCAGGGATGGATTCCTGGGCGGCCCCTGCGAGCCGAGCGGAGATGCAAATGGAGCAGGAGACTGCTGGAGAAGCAGAGACAGACAGATGCTTTTACACTTCAAAGGGAACAGGGCCCTCTGAGCCTTTCAGGAATACGCACAAATCGATAGACTCCTTTCAAACACCGAGCACATTTGCTCAAGTGTGAGGCAATTAGTCCCTGAGGATGGAGGCAGGACAGGGCCATTAACAGCCATACGGGCAGGATGAGAAACATGCGGCATGACTCCTATGGCTCCACGCGGACAGCCAGCCCAGCCTGCTGAGCAGAAAACCCGCGGTTCTGGCCTCACTTTCTCATCCATGGTTTTCAAAATGCCCTTGTGCCCCCAGGGGCTCTACAGGGAGTGCATTAGTGTCATTCAGCCCATGTCAGTGCAATGCTCAGCACATCCCTTTGGCAAACAGAGCGATTTTGATCATATCCCCTCCACTGCTCGATGGTTCACTGCTTTTATCCCGGGAGAACAATAACCAGGGGTACCCCCAGGGATGCACGAGGGCTGACTTAAACTTAGCACAGCAATTCCCATTTCCCCCTTCACCCGACTGCTGCAGGGTGGTGCCCGAGCTGCTCCAGAGAGCTCTGTCTCTACCGAGTCCTTCCTAGATGGAAAAGCAGCACCCAAACCAGATTGTGGGCGAGCAGAGGACTGGCTGCTCAGCACGAACACAGCCAGCATGGGGACAGACCCCGCTGTGTGACAGGAATCAGGCCTGACTCATCCCTGTCTACTCTGCACCAGCACTTCCACGCAGATCTACCCTTAATGCACCAACTCCCAGCAAGGATGTTACAGAGATCCCAGGTGCTGGTGCTTTATGACCCCACAGATGGGAGCTGGAGTGCCAGAGCCAGCACACAGGAAGTCTCTCCCGTGAACAGCTGCTGTTTTACATGTACAGTCTTATTTGTACAAAGAGAGGCAGAGATACCAAAAGTGAGCAGTGCTTTATGCCTGGCTGTGTAATTGATGGAGTGCCTGTCCTGTATTGCTGGCTGCCCACTCCCACTCTCCTTTATGGGGGCACATAATTTACCCTCTTCAGTAAAAATAGAAGAGGAAGAAATAAAAATCTCAGCATGTCCCCAAAGAACAGTAAGAGATGGAAATTAAATCCATCCATTACACTCACCAAGCAGGGTGCTGTCTGGGCAGGAACACTGTAGTTGTACACCTGCACGTTCAAAGAAAAAAAATGAAGTATTAGAGAAGTGTCAGAGGCAACCCAGCACCTCACAGCAAACTACTTCAGGCCATAAAACAAACTCACACGACTTGGAAAAACAAAAAAGGAATAACACTAAACTAAGCTGGGCAGCAACACCGCTCAGCACAGCTGCAGCACCTCTTCTCACCCCTGCGCTGAAGGGTTGCTTCACCCTTGGTTAAAATTTCGTCTGACACCACTGCTCAGGCCCAGGTCTCAAGAACGCTTCAGTGTTTGCTCTGGGAAGTACACGTCGAGTGCTGCGGGGGAGAAACACCTTCCCGACTTCCTTCGCTGTGTCCTGTGAGCTGCGTTACCTCTCCCAGGGTTCCTCCTGCTCAGATTTGCTGTAATGATCAGAAGCCACATTTAAACCTCACTACAGCTCTGCAAGGCACGACAGCAAAAGCAGCTCACCTGGAGCGGCCGGGAGCCAGGCTAGCGGCTGCTTCCCATGGCCCAGGGAGGGGACAGCCGAGCCCTGGAGACAGGCAGGGACAGGCTTCCCTACAGCCACGGCAAAACCGCAGCAAGGTCGTGCCTCTGAGCACGGCTGGAGCTCAGCCGGCAGCGCCCAGGGCAGCTGAGGGGGACAGGGCGCACCAGCCCTCCCCACGCTCCCGGGAAAACCCTTTGTCCTCCCTTCCCCAGTTGGCCCTGCACAGTTTTACCCCTCCCTCTTTGCTCTTGGCCGTTCACCGAGCAAGGGGAGGCTGCGGGCGGGTGAGCAGGTAAGCGGAGACACCTGCACGGCACATTTGGCCGCTGATGAGCGGAGGAGGGGCGGGCAGGGGGGATGTGGCTCTGTGCCGGCCCGGCCCCGCACGGCGGGTGACGGCTGCTGTTTGCTGCTGCCGGCCAAATGCTGCATCCCCCCTGCTACGAGGCTCCCCATGGATCCCGACCTGGGGCTCGGGAATTAAGTGGCTTTTAAGCTCTGCAATAAAAACCCATTTGACTTGAAGAATGTTGTTATTCCTGGAAGGGGGTTTGCGCCTCTTGCTTGGATTTGCTTAAAGTGATCCAGTACATGCCCTGACCAAGTAAATGCACACAGGAGCCCTCTGGGGAGGCTCACGGAGCACCAAATGACAGACACCCCACACCGAAGCAAGTGAGGAGTCCGGCTCAGCCTGGCTGTCCAGCACAAGGCGATTCAAGAGCCCCAGCCCATCTCGGCATGGAAACGCTGCTCTGCGGGATCTCCTCGTGCCTGTCCGTGGGCAAGGAGCCTCCCTGGGCCCCCACTGAGCCCTGCGGGGACAGGCAGACCCGCACCACACACGGGAGGACACCGGGTGCCACCGAAGGTGCCAGAGAGCAGTGCTGCCCCGGGCTCAGCCGGGCCAGGAGGCTCAGCTGAGGGCACCAGACAGTTTGGTTTGCACCAGCTGAGCACATCTCTGTCCCTGCAGCACCTGGAAACGAGATAAGCTTTAGTGAAACCAGCTGGTAGCTGCTTCTGCAGAGGCCACATCCTGAGCCAGCTGAGACCGGAGACCCTGCACCCCTGGGAGGACTCTCCATGTCTCTAGAGAGGTGTGGGGCACTTTGCTGAGCTGCAGGGAAACAGGTGCCTCTCCCAAGCCTGCAGCTGCCTGCAGAAGAACTGCAGTGTTGGCAAGAAAGCATTTTTCTGCCATTCCCATCTGCATTGAAGAAGTGTCAGGCAAGGCTTAAGGCTGCAAAAACCAGTAGGAGAAACCAAAATAAATTAAGATCTTTATTTCCCATAGGAAATTTACCTAGATCCCATTTATACTCCGTTTGCCCTTGTCCTTATGTAATTCCTCTGTGGGAGAGGAGCAGAAAATACAGAGAAAATAAACAATTTGCTGCAAAGAATTGGTGCAAGAGCCTGAGTCACATCTAGCAGTGCGAGCAGATAACCTGAGGCTCACTGAACACGCTGCAGAGAACAATGAACCCTGAGATCAACAGCATGTGTCATGCATGTACAAACTGGCCCCAGGTAACATGACTAAAGCAGAGCCACTGGTGTGCTTGAGAAAGATGCACAAACCCGCACTTTTGAGTTTATTTTATTACTCTTAATGGCCTGCCTTCCACATGTCTCATTTCCCTTTATTGAAGCTGTCAGAGGCATTACATTATGTCACATGCGTGCAAAAACAGTGTTTTCAGTCGAGCTCACACAGACTTTTAAATGCCACAGCTGAAGAAAACAAGACAGTGGGAACTGCAGAGGGAGGAGGTGGGAGCAGAGTCCAGAGCACACACCTACGGGCAAAATCTCCAAAGGCTTCACAAACCAGCCAGAGCTGCAGTCTCTCACCAGACAGGAGAGCAAGAAAGTAAAGGTACTTTTCTAATAGGCTGGATGATTCACTGAAGAAGGGCAAGTGGTCCTGTTGCAACAGAAGGCTGATGAGTAATTAATGGCTTGTCCTAGGCACAAGGCTGAGTCTTTCACCCCAGTGCAGAGCTGTGCCAAACACCAGCTCTACCGACAGGCCCATGGGGCAGCAGCACCTGCAATGCTACTCTGAAGGTTTGAAAGGAAGAACAGTGCACTCGTATTTGCACAGGAGTTTCCCAATGCTGCCCAGTTCTCCTCAGTTACTTACACTCACCACAGTATGTTTTTCATCCTCATTAGCACCCTGTGACAGCGAAACACATCCCAGCTACAAAGAAAAAGGAACAGATCTAACCAGGTAGCCCATGGGGGGGATGTATTCTTTCTCTTTTCTTGGCAAGGCACTGGCAGTGATCCCGGTGGGTGCCAGGAGGACTGCCATGCACAAAGTACCCCCAGGGTCCCTGCACATGGGGCTCAAGGCACCCACTCGACTCCCCAGCCATTATTCTCATCGCATTTCCAAGATGTGACAAACAGTGCTGGCAAAATCAGCTACTAATGGTCAGAGACAGACTATTTCTCTCATCCACAGAGGTCAGCCTTTTACAGCTGACCTGCCTTCATGCAGCTGGCATTTGGACAGCGGGAAATCACAATATTCTGGGTTAAAAACAACCTCCTCCACAGTTTCTTCTCCAACCAGATTTCTGTTTAGTGAGTCGCTCACATCCACTTGTGTGTCATGCACAGCAAGTACAAATCACTACTGGCCAGGGTGCCATCAGAGGGGAGGCTCACAGGGCATTATGTTCATGTACTGTGGTGAAGTCTGACCTTTATTTCAATGCTGCACATCCTCAAAGCCTGGGAAGCCCAGGGGAAGTACTTGGCTGCTCTGCACGTATCATAACACAGTTTGTGGTACAAACACAGTTAGCAATACACAATTTAAATAAGGAAGTAGTCATTGTAACTGAGTCCACAAATTTATAGGGCTACTTTTCAAAGTAATTTTAACAATAACAAACATGGCTCCACATCTCTATGCTATGCAGATGCACAGTGCTGACCTGGTATCCCAACAGATCAGCACACAGCCTTTCCCAGTGTACCTGCACACCAATCCTGATGCACTGGGCACAAACCTGCCCAGATCTGCTCATAAACAACATCTTGCTACACACACAGAGAAAACAATCTGGCACACAGGCTAAATGATACATCTCTCTGCCTACTGATGGCTACAGGCCACAGAGCAGCTATTAGTGTGACAAGAAAACATTCCCTAAATAACACCTAGAAACATGTCTACCCTCCCTGAGAAGCAAAGAGCCTGTCTCACTGAAGACCCCATTGCCAGGGCCATTTGCCACTTAGGCAAACAGGGAGGCTTCCCCCTTCTAACAGGAAGATGAAAGGAAACCCTCCTTGCATGGCACATGCAGGCTCCTGCTCAGGCTGGGACCAGAGAGGAGGGAGGTGGAACCACTCTGGTAACTAAACATGGAAGCTGATCCCTATAAACTCCCAAATAGTGCTGGGACGACTTCACACACAGAGCGTAGCACAGGAACCACAACTATAAATTATATTCTCCAGGGGTGGCAGGGTGTGAGAGAAGGAAGAAGCTCACAGCAGATTTCCTTTCACTCTAAAGAAAGATGTTGGAGTTAAAGAACAGCACTGCTGTTCATGGCCCTGCTTCTGACAACCTTGGAATCCCCAGAGCAGCTCTGCACATTCCAGGAACAACCTCCCTCCACCTCTGCAGAAAGAAGAGCATTTCACTGACCTTGAATCTAGGGCTGACAGAGGAGGGATGGGCACAGGGACCTGCAGACACAACACACAGCCTTCCTGCTGCTTCTCCTGCATGGAACAAACTCTTCCCTGCCTGCGTGACCCACTGCTATGCTCCAGACACTCCTTGCTGTGCATTTTACTCTCTTCTGCTGCTGGAAGAAAGGCAAGACTCTAGCTTTAGTTTGACTATACTAACTGAGGAACCTGCTTAAAGGTCAGCAGGATTGCTTGTTTCACTTGTCTTTGCAATATTGTCTACAGCTTTTGTGCCACCTAGATGGCTTACTGAAACTCCTTAGCCCCATCTCCTTGCCTCAAGTCCCGAGAGGAAGGGATTTTGGAAACTGCCAAATACGAGGTGCAAACAGCCTGTGACTGCAAGTTCAGCAGCTCTTTAACTACTGCCCTTGGAGATCTTGTGGTTTCCTACTCCTGCTGGGAAAAAAGACACTGCAGGACATTTATTCTGCCTGATCCACAGTGACACAGCTGGGGCAGCCACCAGTTTAGCCACTGTTTGTGAAACACGGTGAGGGTTGTTGTGCAAGGAGACAAGGAAGTGAAGGTGTCCCATTCTACTGCTTGCAGCAATACCTCTGCCTAGTGCAGGCGAGGCTCCAGAAGTCCAGAGCAAATCTGATCTCATTTACAGTTTTTTCACTGGGAAGGGTCCTCCCCGTTCACCAGCAGGCGTAGGGGAACAGAGGGTACTGGCTCCACTCCGCCATGGTCCCGTGGGCATGTCCCGGAGCGCCCTGTGTGTTGTACTCCGTGGAGAAGGCCGAGTAGCTCATTGCCCTGTACTGGCTGTGGGGAGGCACCACCCACTGCCCCAGGCCCTGCTCGGTGCCATAGGGACTGTACACGGGCGCTCGGGCCCCGGGTTTCCCAACAGAGTCTAGAGCCATGTTCACCACTCCCGTGTAGTCCTGGGGAGGAGGCAGAGGCGGGGGGAGCGGAGGCAGGTTGGTGAAGCCCTCTGGGAGCTGTTTGGAGTCGTGCTCAGGCACCGTGGCGAGATCCAAGGCGTGGCACCTTGCCCGGAAATCATTCAGGGCCGTGGCATCGCGGGTGGGAAGGTGCTGGCTGTCCCCGGCTTCGTGGAACCTGAGCCGCGGGGCAGAGAGAACAGCGAGTCAAACCTACCGCAGCAGAAAACCACAGAAAACCCACACAGATCCCCTGGGGAAAGGCAGGGCAAGCTCTCAGCATGCCCTCCCTCCCTTGCCTGCTCCTTATCATACTGTTAAGCGTGGATTTTTGTACAGGCCTCACTTTCACTCCCAAAGAAAAACCTTTGGACCAGAAGGTAGGACTCACCGATATGTCTGGTAGGATGGCGTTGGCACTTGCTGCTCTCTGGCCAGACCCTCCCTCTGCTCCGCAGGCACCGGCGATGCCGCAGGGAAGGCCTGGCTGCCATTCTGCTCCGAGCCCCAGAAGGGATATCCACTGCTGACCACCACGGGGTTACTCTCTTCCTTCACATCTACATTCTCATCCTCCTCAAAATCTGACTCACAGCAGGGAAAAGAAAGAGTGGAAAGGAATGAGAAGGGGGAAGAGAGAGACAAAGTTCAGAATGGTCTATTGGCAGTTGTGTTAATCACGGGATGGTGGCAGGAAATGCACTAACACCTCTCCTGCAGACCTTCTGTCCTAAGGGAATAGCCCTTTCCAGCTCTTTTTTGTCCGGATACTGGTGGGTCAGTCCTACCCTGTCCTCTGTTCTTAGCTGTGCTACTGCAAGCAGCACTGTGAGCTGGAGCAAGGAATGATAAGAGCTTAAAGAACTTTTTGAATAGCATTCTCTGGGTTTGTTGTGACCAATATTACCACGTTCCTCGGCACCATGCTCCTTTTCCTCAGGCAGCTTCCTCTTCTGGCTCTTGGCTGGACTGGGCTTCTGGCATTTTGCTCGTCCTTCCCTGGAAAGAAACAAGACATGGGGGCAAGCCTGGATGTCAGCTTTTTGCCTAGAGAAACAGGTGGGGATGCTGGACAAGCTCCGCAAGACAAAAAGATGGGATGAATCTCTAACATTCTGTGCCATACACCTCTCCTACCAGCCCCTCAGGGGCCAAATTCCAGGGTTAGCCATGTGCCTGCCATTGCTGTGTGCTTCCAGGGAAAGCCCTTGCCTGTGATACCAGGGATAAATCAGGAAAGGGGCTCCTGCTTCATATCTGTACAAAAGGCACGATCAGCTTGGAAACTCAGCACCAGAGATTTTGGCACTGACTTTGTAAGTGTAGCCTGATGTTGGATACACACTATGCACACAGGTATGTGTATAGCAGGGTGGGTCTGTTGTTTGAAAGCAGCTCTTTCCTAAATGGAAAATGAGTTTAAGCTTAGTCAGAAATGATGCTACTAGGAGGAGAAAGAAAATCCATGACATTTCTAAAGTTTAAGTAAAATAGAGTCAGTTTTGGCCCTTTTTCATCAGGAAATGAGATTTTTTTCAGGCATAAAATAACACAAAACAAATTCTCAGATATTTTTGTAACATTTTCTGCTTGGAAAAAACCCATTTTTTTCCTTCTCTATTGCCAGTCTATGGTTGCAACTTAAGCTTTTTTTCATCTCATCCACTGGCTGCCTTAAGACCAGGCAGATCATCTCACTGGTATTGGTATCCATCTTGCAGACAAAATCTCCTGTTGGAAGAGATGTTTTTCCACCCACAGAAAAAGGAGACAAGGGAGCCTCCAAATGTCAGAATCAACCTGATCTCCACGAGTCCAAATGATCTGCTGTGGACTCCTGTTATCACTCCTATTCACATGTCAGACTCCAGTCTAGCTCCAGCTTGTAAGGGAATGTAGGTCTCAAATTTCTCACACCTCCTACATTTCTGTGGGAATTATCACCTCCCACTCTCCAAGTCTCTTGGGAGGAGGCTGCACAGGGGGACATCATTCCCAGATACAGGGAAATGCAGTGTGCACAATGCAGCAGGGCTGGCTGGTAGAGTTTTGCTCAAAGGCCTTGGGTAAGATTCACAAGTGAACTCCAGTTATAAATAAATTAAGATGAAAAAGCAGTTTACCTTCGAGTGTTCTTCCCATGTTCACGGAAACCTTTAGCAAAGGGATTGTTGTCAATCTTGAGCTTCGTAATCTTAAAATAAAAGCAATAAAATTCAGTATCAAAGTGACTGGTGGGGTTTTTCACTGTTTCAAGACCTGCACCTCAGTATTTATCTTCACAGTTTTTCTAAGGGTTTTGGACATGCCCTTGCCATGCTATCTGAGCTCTCCCAGCAAGTCTCTTTATTGATCAGGAACTGACACACACAGAGAAGTGACTTTGCCAGGGTCAGCAGGGATTTGGGTGGGATTCATCTGACTAGAGAAACATACAGGGTCAGTATCTATATCTGGGCTTTTGCCCATACTTTTTACTGCTTTTGGAGTTCTGTGTGTCACTGACAGCGCACTCAATGCCATTAAGGTGCATGACTCATCACAGAGAGGATGTTTTCCACAGAAACCATAATGTGCCTGTTTCTTCCCACTGTCCATCACAGGTGCCCGGGTGAGCAGACTGGAAGGAGACACTTCCTCTACAAGAGTTTTGAAGACATTATTTAGCACCATGTCCAAAAGCAGTGCTTGCACACTGTACCTGCTCATTCTGGTAGGCAGTGACAGAAGTGAAGACAGTCTCAGGGAAGCTGAAGACCTGGAAGATGCTCCAGCGGACACTGAAGAGGTCGTCTGCCTGCACAATGTGGAAGCGTGGCTTGTAACGGTGCATGGAGTGCAGGATGATCTGGCACAGGGACAGACAAAGGACAAGGTTTCTATGGGCAAACACTGCCAACACACAGACTAAAGCCCTCCCTAAGAGGGCACAAGGGCTGGGCTGAGGGAGGAAGAAAGGGCACTTGGATATGTTTTCGCTGTCACATGATCTAATTTCTCACAAATCTTGCTTATTTTCTACAACACTCATGAATTCCAAAAGAGCACAGCACGACCTACATGCCCATGTTGATCCAGAGTGTTGTTGGTGAGCTTCAGTTTTTGGAAGGAGACGGGTTCTTTCATCCAGTGGCTGCCAGGAGCTGGGGAATCTGGGTGAACGTAGGTGCGACAAGGGAGCTGGGGCTCTGCTTTCCCAGCAACTTCCCACTGATCTTTATTCCACTGTGAAGGGACAGAAACCAGGAGCTTAAAAAAACCCTGCTTTCAGTACAGGAAAGCCCAGCAACTTTGCTTCACTGTCAATTTGGTGCCTGCCTTTGGAGCACAAGCAGCAGATTCTCTCTTATGAGCCATGATTGTGTTACCAAATCGGCTCCAAGTTTAGGCCTCATTTTTCCACCCTTTCTCCCAATGGCTGTCAGAGAACTCTGGTGTTAATCATGATTAAAACTGTACTGCTTACAATGAAATTTGTAACCCTTCCAGCTGCTCCCCAAGCAAAACTGACAAATAACTCCAGAGAGGTATAAAATCCACCAATTACTTCTGAACTTTGTCCAAAGAGAATTTATTTATCACCATGGCCAGTGAAGCATAAAGATTAATCTATTTCAAACAAAGATGAAAGGACAGCATAAATTCTGTAATTTAAAGTACTTACCTTGTACCTGAAGTTATCCATTGGCACAAAATCTACCAGCATGAGGTACTTGGCATACGGGATTAAGCCAGAGACTTTGATTTTGCATTGTGGAAACATTCGTCTGAAGGAGAAATGAAAAATAAGAGTACAAAAAGATTTCTCTATAAAGTGGATATTAATGATCAAGCAGCATGCCATGTTTACCAACTACTGGCAAAGTGCTTGCAGCAGTATTTCTCCATCCAGCTATTGACCATTTGTCCATCTTAATGATGGACTGTCTGGTCCTGTGGGTTTAGGTGGGATAGGCACTAACAGGGCAGCACTCACTGACAGCCTGACACTTACTGCCTCTGTTCTTCCAATTCCTGTAACACAACAGTGGGAAACTTAAAAGGAACTATTTGGAGTCTGTACGTAGTTCCTTGCCTGCTGCAGCTCTCACAGACTTGGAGGATGGATTAGAGCATTTCTGAGCGTGGGTAGAAAACGTGCTCTCATCTTAGAGCACATCCGGCTTTCTGTTCCCGTACTCCCTGCCACTACTTTTAACTTCTGACTCTGCAGAAAAGCTTTGACACCTACCTCCCTACCCAAAGGGATTATTTCAGCTCACAGCAGCTTTGACATAATACATTACAATTTCACAATTCCATATTCTTTCCCTGCAAGCTCCACAATACATGACTCATTTATACATTAGAGTACTCTGCCCGCACAGATCGTTGTAAGTCTACACCATGTTCTTGTCTGCAAAAGACTCAAGCCTAGGCATTTACTGCTCAACTGCTGCTGCCTGTGACCCAGGCAAAGGAAGCCCAGGGCATTTTACAGAGCAACCTCGAGCTGACAGGAAGAACACCAGTGTTAAGTGTGAGATAAGGGTACAGAGGTTTTCTCAGCACATCAGCCCCTTTTGCACTTCACAGCTTGGACTTCTATGACATCCTGAAAGTGCAATTCTCCTGCCAGGATCAGGGAGATGTGCATAATTGGCAACAAAACCAGTTTAAGGACCACCATTCAAAAAATGAGCATGTTGGAGATTTTTACAACAGCTCAGAAGAGGTGTAGGGTGGGCAGCTGTCCTGCACCCCTCACCTGCCGGATTTGGTGATGATCATCTCGGTTCCAATCTGATGAAACTTCATCCAGAGACCCTTGTCCTCGAGGGTGACCACAATGGAGCTCTGTGCACAGGGCTCCAGGCTGGGGGAAGGAAGGGCCTCACATGGCACTTTCAAGTCTAGAGAGAGAGAAGATGGTGACTTCAGACAGGCAGGAGGGAACCAACATGGCACAGCCCCTCCTGCTGTGGGAGTGGGAACTCTGTGCCACAACAAACCTCTTAAAATCTGTCATTTTTCTTCAAAGGATTTTTGTTACTTAATAGGCTCAGCGCCTTTTCCAACAGGTTTGGTTTCAGCTGGTAGCTTCTTTTGTAAAGATTTGTGTGTTGTACCAACACAACCTAAATTACATTTTTACAAAACTCTTACTGGCAGTAGCCACAATCCACCATTCTGGTATGATCAGTGTTACACAAAACACTTTTACCAAGAGAATACAACAAAAGCTGAAAGGATTGTAAAGATTGTAATTGCACCAGTGGGTAGTGGGGAAAAACAACAGGTAGGTGGTAGCAGAAGTGAAAAATCCCTCCAGAACACAAAGATGAGAGAGACGGGACTCCTAAATGTAAGTGAAGGTAAGAAAAGGAGGTGACAGAGCCTGTGGAATATTCTGAAAAGAGGATGGCTGGTCTGAACAGGACTTGGAGATGGGAACCACTGAGGAGCCTGTGATGGGAGTGGAGGATGTTCAGTAACACACCCTGGCACATCAGAGGAGCTGCCTGTCGTGCCTGCAGTTTCTGTTGGAGGCAGAGGACCAAAGGTGGTCCTGGGGAAGAGGAAAGGGAAACTATTCTGGGGGGAACCATCCTTGATGTTGATGGTACCAACCACTTCTATAGAGCTGTTTGGATTAAACACCTCCTTTAAAAACCTCCATAGTTGCTCTTAACAATACTGTAAGGCAGGCAAGTTTGCTGCTGCCATACTGAAAAGCCCAGTTTCACTTTAGGTTAAACGTGACCGGGTGTAGTGCTGGTGGGCTGATTTCATGCCCAGCAGGGCTTTACTAACACTGCCCTGGGGTCTGACAGAGGGATGGATTTGCTTGCTTGGCAGGGCACCCACGGCAGCAGTGCTGTCCCCAGCTCAGAGCCAGCAGGACATCTCACAGGGTGATGCATTAGCAGCCAGGCACAGCTATTTGTTTACAAGGGAGATTTTTCTGCCTCTCAGCCTGTTCAGATGTTACTCAGAGCATAGCAGAAGAAAGGGGAATTTTCGCCTTGTTACAGCTTTTCTGAGTAATGTCTTCAAAAGAATATTCACAAAAGGTAGACAACTATTTCCAGAGAAATTAGCTTTTTTATAAAGGGACATCTTTCTACCAAAACAACCCAATGTGAGTCTAAGGGCTTCTTCCTTCAGTACTAAGAAGTAAAAAAACATTTAAATGTAATTTTATCAGTTTGTAAAGGTCTTCAGGCACTTAAAAAAAAAAAAAATCCTCTACCCTTTTTCCTGCTTTGATCCAACATTAATGAACTGGCCAAGAAGTGACACCTAGTTTGCTCACTAAGATTAGCCTGTTAACATCTTCTTACTAAAGCTTCCACCATATCCTCTTGCAAAGACATGAAAGCTGCCATGAGACGATGCGTTCGGTAGCTCAGTGCAGCACGTGTATCAAAAGGAGTTACAATAAAATTGGGCTGATTTCCCACAGGAGCCATCCAGTCACAAATACATGCAAACAGATTTTGATTAGCTAGACAGATGCTCGCTCCTTCCCCAAATGAATTTTAGAATTAACATTTCTGTAAGCAAATTCCAATGCCATTAAATGAGACTACAACAAGATAGATCTCAGGGGTCCTTATTGAGGGGAGACTTCCAATGAAGTAGAGAGGAACTGAAGTGAAAGAAGTTCAACACTGAATTAAAAATCAAAGGCAGATGTTATAACCTGTTTTTTACTAAGATGAGTCCACAACACACCTGCAGGAGTGTGATGCTGCAGGAGACAGGGACAATAAACGCTGCAGCAAAGATTTTAAGATGTGGTTAATGCCTTTCACCATGCAGGTTTTGTGTGCACAGTTTGAGGCTGAAAAACAGAACATTAACAGTCTGCATGAGGATCTGGACCCCAGCAGTGGTGTGAGTTTGGGAACGGATCCACAGAGCCGCAGCCGTGCGCTGTTGGCTCCAGCGGGATCCTGCGGCCGTGGATCTATTTGTAGGACCCACTTTGGATTTTGTTTGCAGAGTCAAAGGCTGGCTACAAAGGCACTTCCAAGTCCCTCCTAATTTGTGCCTGTGTAACTAATGCCAAGACTCAGGCACACAACCCTCTTCCAAAGTTGCCTGTGTGCTGGAATTACAGCACAGAGAGGTTCGGGCAGGGTGTCCAAGCACTGAATGGAACTTGTTAGACCTGCACTTCTATGATTTCCTCTTCTGTGTAACTTAGTTTTTAAGTATTATTTGAAAGAGATTTGAACATTCTCCAAGAATTCTAATTCTAAGCTTTTTAAAAACCATTATGATTATCATTGTTTTGGTAACACAGGATGTGGCACATTTTAAAACATATTCATTATGCCTAGATGAGGTTGAAAAGGAAGAAAGATGGGATGATAAAGGCACTGAAAATTCAGGTATCTTCAATCTAGCCTGGGCTTGGTTTGAAAGTCCATATACCAATAGAAGCAGCTTGTCCTACAGTTTCTGTATCTAGAATAAGCTGTACATACCTTTTTCCTATCTTGGGGATGGAAAGAAAGAGAAATGAGAGACAATTCAGTAATTCTTGAAGGGAGAAGGAAGCTTTTTGGATAGGAGATGCTGGAGTACAATTCCCTCACCTAAAGCAATCCTTCAATTAATTGTCAGTTAGAGAGACAATGTTATGATGTCAGAAAATCTGTTGCAGCCTTTCCAAAATGTATGGGATAGGGTTTGCAATACCAGGAAAAGTCCAACAAGGCAAAAGATATGCTTCTTACCTTCACTAAAATCAGTTATTGTTACATTTGTTGCTGTTATCTTCCAAGCTATTCAGTGTCCAGAGGAAGGAATGCACGCCAATGTATAAAGCTTCTTAAGAAATTAATCTTGCCAACAATCAAAAAAATCCCAACTTTTCTGACCTTCTAAATGTCAGCAGAAACACTCCGACCCTCCAGAGGGAACCTCATTTCTCAGAACCAGAAGGTTTTTTGGCAATAACAAAAGTACGGTGTTTCTACAAATGCAATGGCTTCATCTCTGAGATGCACCCAGCCATCACCTGGAATATTTCTGCCCTAGGGAATATTTCTGCTTCTGGTCATACACCAGAAGCAACTCAGTAAGAAAATGAGGTGACTTCTGCAATAGGTGGAATCTTCACATGATGAAATACCATAATACAGTCTATATCTTTTCATTGTTGCTCTTTCGTTTTTCAACCCAAAATTCTTTAGAAGTGGCAGAAATCAGTATGAATCAGATCAACACAGCAGGGACTGCAAAAACCCCAAAGAGCAGGATGGTGGAAATTAACTGAGTCACTGCACAGGTATTTTGCTTATGAATGCAGAGGAAGAAAAAGGAAGCTGAGAATGCCCAGTCACTTCTAATGTGTATTATGACCTGCACAACCCTAAAACAGGCAAATATCTGTTTCCTTCTGATGTGCAGTAAAACCCTAGAGTAAATTTGGGGTTCAGTTACAGTGACAAATGCTGCCTCTGGACACATTAGTTTCCCAATGCATATCAGCCATTGTGCCCAATCTAATCATGCCCCACACAGGAGAGATAAACAGCATGTTATGGGATGGACTGATGAAGGAAAACGTAACAAAAGCCTAAGGAAACCAGAAAAATCCTGTGTGTTGGGCATGAGCCTGGAAGAGGTGGGCTATGCCTGCTTGTGGTTTATAATCTCAAAGGGCAGAGGGGAAAAAAAAAAAGAAAAACCAAATGGTTGGTATCAGAACTATTATTACAAGTAGAACAAATATTTCCAAGCGTTCCCTGGCCTTCAACCCTAAGAACTCAGTACTTTGCAGACAATACACAAATAACACCTCCAGTCCTCAGTGAAGGATCACATGGCACAAGCGCGTGTGGATAAGGGAGTTTTGGACATATTGTGAGCAAACCTTTGCTACCTGAGAAAAGATCTTTGAAGGCTCACAAAAAACACTCAAACCCCACAATTTATCATCTATTCCTAAGAAAAAAAATAGTTCATAAATCCTCTCCAGTCCCATGCACACTACTATAAATGCTGGTAGCCCTTCAGGAGCACTTGTTCCCTTTCTGGCCTAAGTCTAGGATCTTTCCACTCCATAAGGAAAGGGAGAGAGTCCTTCCCTTACCTGGTAAAGCTTGCATTTTTCCATGTACTGTGACGTCTAGGAGCTTGCACGGCCAAGAGAGCCACCAGAGTTCTTGCAAGGGGAACCAAAATAGTCCAGTTCAAAAGCAGGTCTGATTTCCTGAAGCAAGCACAAGCCCTTCCTTCTGAGATCCAGTGTCAAGAGTGAGCGGGATGAGGATGGGACTCCGAGCACAGCTAGCCAAGGTGAGTTCCTATTTTATGGAGGCTAATGAGCAGGGAGGAGCTTCCCGCCAGGGCTGTCCCCTTGCGATCCTTTGATGACCAAAGGGACAAAGAGAGGAAGGATCTGCAGCAATGGCTTGGGCTAAGGGAAGAAAATCAAAGAGAATTAACATGGCTTTGACATACAGGAAACCCGACGGGGGAAATGCACCTTGATTTACTGCTAACGCACTTCTAAACAAATAGAGACAAGACCGAAAACATCAGTTGAGGACTTAGCTACGAAATCAACACAAATCCCTTTAAACAGCAAGCCGGGAAAGTTTCCTTTTGGCTATTCCACAGATTTGCGGTAATTCTCATCATCAGCGCACAGACTCATTTTACTCTTGCTTTCTGGCATCAGAATAGGGCTGCACCGAGCTTGGCCCTTCCCAAGTAGGTGATTAACAGTCAGTGCCGAAGTTTGCTCTCACAACTGGAATGCTGCCACAACACATCCCTTCACGGACAGATCCTTCTCCAACAATGTAAACACACTTGATGATACAACGTTACTTACTTGCCCAATATCTGCATTCCCAGCCCTGAACTGCACCCTAAACTTTTTGGGGGGTGATCAGGCACTGGGTTTAGGTCTCGCTCAAGGTACTGCTCTTACCCAGGGAAGGCTGAGCAGAAAGAAGGGCTTGAGCATTTTCCCTTAATTAGTTTATTCTGCAAGTGTGACCATTAGCTTTTGTACTTATAAGTGCTTACAAGTGCTAAGAGACAGCAATCAAGGCTCAGGCCTTCGGGGCACAACACAGCCACCGCACCTCGGTGAAGGTTCTGTGCATTCACACACAGAAATAGCTGTACCAGGTGTACCAACCAATAGTTGACAGGATCAACACGGTCAGAAAGTGGAGGTCAAAAGCAGGATCTCAGTCTCGATGGGCCAGTGCTGGACCCTGCACAGCAAATTTGGGAGCTCTGTTCATTTCAAAAATCTTGCTATGTATAAGGTTGCATTTGATTCACTGTCTAGATTCACTCCAAGAAAAATAAACATTTTTCTATTTTGTCAGTGATGTTACTGGGACACCTGATCTTCAGTCTGACCTGCAAAATGTATTCTGAATTTGTTTAGTGAGTTCCTACACCCAAACAACATTCCTTGAGCTCTGTTCTTACTGCCTTTTGGAGCAGGCAATGTGAAGACATGCAAAGAGAACAAAGAAGCTTAATCAGAGGAGGGACTGGCTCTTTCAGTGGTATTTTGAATGTTAGGCATCCCAGTACTAGTCAGGGAGAGAAAAGCCAGTGCTTAGCGTGGCAAGGAAGAAAGTTTAAAAGAAAAGGGTTGGAGAGTTTAAAAAGTCCTGAGGAGGATTTTATAGCAGGAGATGGTCCATTGGCTCCTGGCACCTCTGAAGGACCACATCCAGCCTTCCCTTTTAAACCACTGGATAATACAGAAGACCAACAGGCTCTTCTCCTTCAGCTAATTTGGAGACATCCACAGTTGTGGAGTCTTGCTACCACTGAGAAGAGGCCTTCATATGGTGGAGAAACATCAACTTGTACCTCAAATGGAGATTATTTATTACATAAGTGGAAAAATAAATTGGAAGGGACAAGGTCAGCTGGAAACGGTATCAAGGTCAAACCTCTGCTTGTACTTGCACAGCCACTACCAGACACAAACTAAATAGGATGCAGAAATGGTTTTCTACTCTGCCACAGAAAGAAAGACATCAAATCAGCTCCCTCTCCATGTCCTGCTTTTCTGATGTTAGTATTTTAATTGTAGAAAGCGGAAAAGACAACCATAATCAGAATTTGAAAAGGAAAAATAGAACAAAAATTGGGTCAGATTCGAGCTAGCAGCAAGATGAATCAACATCCCACACAGTTAGAAACTGCACAACAGCAGCAGCAGCACTGGGAATTTCAGACTTCACCTGACAAGAGCGTGGGATGTGTATCATGACTTTCTGCTTCTTCCACAAAGGGTATGAGATGGTCTCCTGCTGCCACTTCATTTGCACGCTGCTATCAGCATGTCTAGGGAACACACATTTGCTACAAGTACTCAAATCCTTTTGGCTTCTCCCAGCTGATTGATGGGGAAGGTGGAGTCATTAATTACCCATGACTAGTTAACAACTAGCTTTCTCCCAGCCATTCTAGTTGCACTGGAAAGGTTTTAAAAGTGAAAAAAAGAGTGAATTTGTTACTATTGCTGGAAAGCGTGGCTAACAGGAGGCAATCCCCAGGAAATTCATCCTTAGCAAAGGGGGAATTTAGCACATTACCCTTGTCTGTCTGTCCACGGAGAGCCTCAGGCAGTTTGATGGGAAGTCAGAGGTGAATGTGCTGGTGCCTAACAATTCCCTGGCAAATTGGAGGCTGAGGGTGTGGAAAGGGACAGGAGAGAGAGTGGATCTGACATGTGTCAGTCGGTGACATCCACAGCTCTGCTCCAAGCTCATTTACAGCAGCAGGTATAAATCCTGCTGAGCCCAGCTCTAACTGTAGGCTCTGCCCTGTGCCAAAGGGACGAGGTAGGGCAGTGCAGGAGGGAGGGAGTGTGTGATGACAAAACCAGAGGCCAAGAGCTTTTGCTTTGCATCTCTTTGAGGAGGTGATTAGAAAGAAACATTCCCCTCTGGGTCTTGTAGTAAGGCAAATGTTTTCTGGCATTTCTCCCACCTTAAGTGAAGCTTTAACCCTTAGTGCTCAACAGGACCTTGTATGGAGCTGGTTTGCACACAAACAAAGCTGGTTTGGACAGCCTTCCCTCTGTCCAACACAGTGATCATCTCACCACCTCTGGTTGTTGCCTGGGGCTCTCAGACTGCTGGAGAACAGATAACTAACGTGTCAGCAAGCAGGGGGCTTTGGCTAACAGGGTGGGAGTCTGCAAGTGGATGTCTCCAATGCCCAGGCAGAGCTTCCAGGGAATCATTCTGCCCAGAGAGCAAGCTCAAGTGTGAGGCATAAAGTTACTGCCTGGGGCACGGCTGAAATGCAACAGAATGGTCTTTTGAAAGAACTTGGATTATTGCTCATGTGTATCAGCCCCTGCAGGTTTCTCTCTGTGCACACAGCTGTGAGAAAGTATTATCATATCAGCTTTAGTAAACTGGGCTTAAGCAAAGCTGTGTTGAATCCGAACAAGCAAGAAAAAAACCCCACGGAGCAGTACAAACTGCATTTAAGAGATTCTCCCCACTGAAACATGAGGAAAGCCTTCCTGCCATCTCAGTGTGACTCATTTAGCTGATTCCCACCTGGCACATGTAGACCACAGTGGCAGAGCATCTTGGCAGCTCTTTATGAAGGATACTCTGCCATCTGCATGGGATGAGCACTGAAAAAGTGAAGAGACACCATGTCATTACAGGACCCAAAATAAAAGAGACAGCCCTACACTGACTCCTTGTCCTTGTTAGTGCCCCATACTTCATCCAGCAAAATAGGAAATACAAGTGCAGGGTTGGCCAGGACAGAGTGGCCGAGCTCTGGCAGCACAGGCACAGCCTAAACTTGGGGAGCTTTGTGAGCAAGTCTCTGTGGGCGGCTGCAGGAATGGTTAAAACCCTGCAAAGTGCTTTGAGATCCTCTGAAGAAGTGGTACATATTATCTCCTATCATGCGGTAGCAAAGGAACAGTTCCTACCCAGCTCCTTAGGAGAGCTCACATAACACAACATTGTCTTCTGATGGAGCAAAACGGCACCTTTTTTCTCCCTTTTTATGGCTGGGTTTGATTTTTCCTGGGAAGAGCTGTCCGGTGTCTTCAGGCATATTATGTGTGCAGTGCCACCCAGACCTTCCCACCCTGGGACCCCCACAAGGGGCCCCACAGAAGTCAGCCCTCTGTAGGGCTGAAAACCCCATACTGAGCCCCAAATTGTATCACCCCCAAATTTTCCCTGTGCTCTCAAAAATGCAAAAATAACATTTGGCAAACCAAAACGGTTGGAGAGGGCCTGTTGGTAACATCTCAATGCTAATTCACCACAGGGTCCCTGGACAGAGGCACAGTGAGCTGTGGGGAGGGGTCACAGGCTGAGACAGGATCTGTTTTGGAAGGGAACGTGGGAAAGCAGCTCATAAAAATGAAAAGCTGTACATTTCATGTTTAAGACAAGGCTTTTCCTCTTGCAGGTTTGTGGATTGAGGTACCTGGCCACAAAGCTGTGCTCCCCCACTAAAGAGAAAGAGGATGCTCTCCTATCTCCCCTTTCTCACATCCGCCCACCCCAGCCCTCTGCAATACTCCCCCTGCTCCCAGCAGTTCGTTAGCATGGAGACAAGAAGGGAAATACTTAGCAGCCACTTAACACTGCAGGCTGAGTTTGGCCTCAAAGGCTACAGTCCAGAGTCAAATGCAAAATATGTCTGTCTAGAGCCCTTTCAAGTTCTCACAGACTCCTGATGTTAGGTGCACTGTTTTCCTGTCGACCCATTGTGTTTTCCAGACACAGCTCAGGGCTCTGTCCCACTCAAATCCACAAAAAATACATACTGAAAGGACTTGCAGCAGCAAGGAGAGCTCTGCACCACAGCACGGGAAAGGACAGTGCAAGCGCTGCCTTCCCTCCCCTGCACTGGGAAGGCTCCTTCCTCTCACACTGGGGACGCAGCAGCCCTGCCTGAACTCACTGGTCGCCATCGGGAGCCATAAAGGAGCTGCCTGAGAAGATAGACAGCAAGTGACTCCGGCTTAACATCCATCCATAAATACTTCTATATTTATACACATGCACACACTCATCTGCAAAGAGAAGCATCATGCAGAGCTCAAAAATTGCTGGCAGTTTACTTCACTATGAATTGAGACCAGACAAAAACCCTGAGCAGAATGGATTCTGCTGAGCAGAAGCCCAACAGACAATGCTGCACCAATCTCCATTAAAAAGCTGATGTCTCCAGAAAAAAAAAGCAGCAGCTCAAACCCAGGAGCTTTTATCTAAACCTTATGGACTTTCAAGATTGTCGATACACTGTCATGCTACTTCGGTTTCTGCAAAATATTCCTTTTGTTGGTGATCAGGCATTTGTAAAGCCATGAAACCCACAAAAAGCCACACTTCAATCACACAATTAAAGGGTCCAAGTTACTTTGTTTGGCCAAGACAGATCTCTTGTATCAATTACATAAGGAAGTTTCCATACACTGTTCATCACAGTAAGGTTCTAATGAAATCAGGAGATCAATAAACAGTATAATTCCTATCAGAGGAACTATCTTCAAAGAGCAGACTAAAATTGTTAAGATTTAAAGTGTTTGGAATTTAAAAATAAAAACTGTTGTGAGCTCTACAACGCACCCAACTTGTTCATCACCTCACAGCAAACTGATACTGGGGTCCATAGTAACAACAGTCAGATAAGAATCCTTCAACATCACTGATAACAGAAAAAAGCACCTGTCAGATTTCATGGATTCCTCATATCAACAGTGGGATGAGGCTGTCATACATGCACATGAACTGACAGCTGCCACTTCTCCCTGCAATCCCTGATTTGGCCAGATTTGTTCCCTCTTTTCTTCCCATACAGTCAAATTTCTATACTCATTCTTTGTTGCAGTCATGGGCCCGGGTACAGACTCCAGGCAATTCTCAGCCCCACGGCTCCCTCCCCCTCCCCAGCAGATTGTGAAATGTTTATGACCTGGCTCTTATGGCTCTAGAGGTGCTGAATGGCCTTTTCCCCCCTCCGAGTCTCAGCTCTTGATGGGCAGCTACAGACCAACTTTTAGCCGGTTTGGTCCGTAGTTGTGGATTTTATTGCCCAGTTTGTCTCTTCAGCTCACATTTGTAAGCTCCAGAGTAGATTTTTCCCTGGGTAACACTCTGCAGCTCAAAGAACTCTTCTTGTTTTTATTACATCCTTAGTGATTAAAGGGATATTTAACCCTCACAATGCTCCCTGCTGTGAATATAAAAGCCTAGCATCATTTTGGATAGATGTGCTTAGAAAAATAAATTAAAAATTAGCCCTACTATAGCGAACAAATGCTTCTAAGTTGTTAAGAACATCAGACACCTGAATGATTTAAATATATTGGTTGTAATTCCTTGAGAAACCAAGGGATGACACATGGTTTTGTCCTATCTGAACGGTTATACAGACAAGTTTCACTTGGAATGAGAACAGAGGTGTGCAATGACTGCATCATACTGAAAATACTGGATTTTATCTACTTGGGCATAAATGACAGAGATTTCTTCTCGTCTCTAACCCTGCAAACAGTAATACACATAATAGGTACCACTCTTAAAAACACAAACTTTGCTTTTGTAAGGCAAAACTGTTTTTAAATGACTGCTATTTCACAGCCTAACCTATGCCTGCCAACCAAACGCAGATACAAACAAAACAATGTAGATTCATCAGAAATACTTAAATTCTGCTAAGAGGAGTGCTGGGGAGTGTGCAGGAGGAAATCAAAGTCATGTTTGAGAGCAAGTATTTCTGTGAGCACAGATTAGATGGTTATCAATAATGAGGTCACTGGTTTTGCCACCCTCTAATACTGCAGTTTAAGCTTCTGCAGGGAGCTCCTGCTGGGGTCAGATTAGGGAGCTGAGCCTGCCCGAGATGGAGGTTTGGACTCACTGCCAAGGAGCTTCATTTCCAAATAACTGCTTATAGTGCACAGGGAGCCTCAGATCTACAGTTTGTGCTCTACAGGACAGAGCAGACAAGTTATCAAGCCTGGGAGTGCTGGTGTAGTTTATCATAAACCTGAGGCAAATACTTGAAATCTAAGTCCATTCATGGTCCCCCATTATGTCTGACTTCTTTTTTTTGGGTATTTCCTCTCCAAGATGGAAATAACCCTTCTCCTCCCTTTGCATCACACTGTGAAGAAGTTGTTCAAGGGAAGAATTGCTGACTTCTGGAGTTCCTCACCCCTGATTCCAGAGTTTCCCTTTAGACAACCTTAGTATCACTTAAACTTTTGTTCTGAAGACAGTGATGTTCAGCCATATCCACCTATAAAAAATATGGTAACATTAAGGAGGCTCCAATACAGAGATTGTTCATAGGGATTTTTGCAGTGAGATGCTTTCACTTCCCTGTTGGAAACATAACCACAAACACAACCACAGGATGCACATGTGAAAATAGCATACAGTTGAGGAGGAAAGTGGCAGGGCTTCTTTCTGAGAGCCTGCTGTAAAACAAACTGGTAAAACCACAAGTAATTCTTATCACCTCATTATCAAAGCTACCGGGGAACTGGAGGGAGACTGGATGAGCTGAACACCAGAAAAGATTAGAGGAGTTGGTTAAGTAAATCTTCACTGATTGACAGCCCTGTACACAAAGAAGAAATGAACATGTCTGCAGGGTGTAAACATACAGATGACAGAGGAATTAATGTGCTACAAAGGGATATAATTATCTTCATTAGTTGGGATGAAAATGAGAGAGAAGCAATTTGAATACCCAGGAAAAAAACATTCCGGCTGTGCAAGGGCAGCCTGTTCACAGAGGAACAGACGAAGTCCTTACTGTGTCAGGTTTTTAACTGCCTTTTGCACAAACCACTGGTACTGCAGAGAACAGTCCTGCCTTGGCAGGAGCAGCAAAGAAGGCTTCGAGACACCTTCTCACCTCTTATTCCTGTGATACCTCCAAGAAGTACTAAAGGAATTCTGGGGCCACAAGGAAGAATGGATGTTCCTCTGGCACATGAACAGAGTGCTTCCCATTGGGATGTAACCCAGGCTCACTGGCACACTGTGGGTTACAGCACTACACATTTGACACAGATTCCAGAAGAGGGAAATGTCCAGGCTTCTCTTATTCGATCACACTGCTTCAGAGCTTTACTGGTGACCTCAGTTCTCTTGAAGGAGACTGTTTCTTTCTTCCATTGACTCCTAAGAGCTGGAGAATCTGGGTGAAATATCTGAGGAATCTGGATCATCCCAGAAGCGAAATGGAGCTTAAATCAAGTGAAATGCAAAATGAAAGAATCTTTCAGACTCAAGTTTGAACCTCAACAACAATCCTAAGCAGTGGCCAGGCCTGCCTTTTGTTCAGAATCTTGGCAATGGAGACTTAATGTGAACTAACAGGAAAGAAACCATGGGAATCACGCTGAATTTTCCCCATGAGATTTTCTGCTGCATGTTTAGGTCTCAGGGTATACACACAACTACATTACTACAGTCCAAGGTGATAAAATCAGGACCATATTAATTGACTCAGATAAGGCACCACTTTCTCCTACCTGGCACTGTCCCTGGTGTTATTTGCAGCTGCAGCTGCCATTAGGCTGGTGCCTGTTTTGGCACTGGTGCTGTGAGCCATCTGAGGGCAGGCGTCCTGGAGAACCCTAGGGAAGAAGTGCAGAAGGGCTCCATAACTTCCTAAAAGGAAAAAGGTGGGTAAGTGGGGGAAAAATGTATGGGAAAATGAAGGTAGAAAGAAAGAAGGGAAAAAAGGAAAGGTAAGACACAGTGAAGAAAAAAAAAAAGAAAAGTAACAGGCTGTGGATGCTTCTGCATCCTCTTGCTGGGCTCAGGGGTCCTGCCATCAGCTTCTCTACCCAGCTCAGGATTTACAAAAAGAAAATCTTGTTTTTCTAGACATTCACAAAAGACCAGCTATTGACTCCCAAGGGAAGTGTGACTGCAATCTAAATGTTGCTGAGCTTGGTAGAGTGCTCCTCTTCCCCACTCCTATGCTTAGGTCAGAGTGATGGGAAAGGTGACAAGTTATTGAGTCACTGAGTTACATTTCCCAACAAGTGCCTTTGGGTGACAGTGCAGATACACTAAAGCCATCAGCCATTGTATTAGAGATGACAAAAGATTGATCCATGGATCAAAGAAGCATTCTCTGTGCAATTCTGAAGCACAAAGTTTACCAGCTATTCTCCTCTCTGCTTTCAGAGAGCTTCAAACAGCCCTCAAGGGAGAGAAAAGGACGTCAGGTCACACAGCCACATCCACTTCATTCACTGATCTCCTGCCCAGTGTTCATCCTTCACCAAGTCATTTTCTGTGTCCTAACAAACTCCTGCCAAGGGCAGCTCCTCCCTCTTTCCTTCACAACTTTCTTTTCTCTCCCTTGACAACCAAGAGCAGCCCAGAAACAGAACATTCCTTGTGCTGAGGAGTCCTTTCCTTTGAGGAATCCAACCCAGGGCTGTTCTTGCAACAAACTGGGAGGGACAATACCTCCCTCTTTTCTGTTTCAGCCCTAATGTTCACAGAAGTGCCAGATTTAGCTTTGCAAACTGAAGTCCTTTTTACCAGAACTGATTTAGCTCTGGCCAGGCAGTGGGTCTGTCTCATGGATTCTGGAAGGGGATATGTCCATCTTTGCTCAGTAAGGTCAACCTTGAGATTGACTTCCCACCCTTTGATACCTGGGTTATGGTCTCTGATCAGTAGAAATGCAGCAAACCTATCAACTCGTTGTTTAAAGATGGCTTTAACCTTGCAGAGAAGTAAAACCCACATAACAAGCCTTATTTAGGAACAGCATTTGTCATGTTTAGCATTTACTGCCTGAATATTTTCTTGCCTGAAGACAAATGAAAATATTCTCGCAGAAATACAAGTTCTTTTTCCATTTTCACCTGGAAAGTCATAATAAAGGAAATCATTACTGTTACCTGCATGTCCTACTGACCAGCTCTGGCTTTTGCAGTGCAGCCACTCTCCATGGTTCTGTGACCCAAGGAATTCCAAACCACTTCTGTGCCATATCCACATCAGTTATTTCTCTCTTGCATGAGCTGAGACAGTGACAACTAATCTGCAGTGGGATCATCACCATGAAAAAGTTTTCCAGCTAGCCTGGCCTCACAACTTGTTTGCCACCCTCAAAGTTAAAACTAAAACTTTGATCTTACTAACATTTCACTCAGCAACGTACCAAAGGTATTTAAGCCTCAGTCTGTTTCTGTTTGCAGAGATGAAAATTATATTAACGTATGAAGACAGTGCAGGAGACACTTATTCTTGAGCAAACTCTCCCCAGGCTGAAGAATCCTGGATTTCCTGAAGGCAGTTCTGCCCCAGCTTTTTCAAAAGGTCCTCTTCAGAAATGGAATTAGGCCTTAAAAGTGCTGTCACTTAAATGCATTTACCAATCAGAGGTTGTCTTAAATAAACCTCAATGTATTTACACTCTCATTCCATGTAATAGGTTTTCTTCAGCAAATAAACCAGAATTCAGCAAAAATAAAAGCAGCAAAATCAACCTTTCCCCCCTCTCTCCCAACATCATTCTCCAGCAGGCAAAATGCTAAATCTACATCAGTGTTTTGGCAGTAAGGAAATATTCTCACAACAACAGTATCACAGCAGTAATGTCTTCTGCTTTGGAAATGTGTTACCTTGATGTTTATATAGCCACAGGAGACCATTCAACAATGGCAATGTGTTAATTCCATTGACATTATCGCTCAAATTCAGTCACAGGGGCTGGTGAATTCTTTTTTTTACATGGCTCTTTCATCTAAAAGAGAATAAAGCAGGACATAATGGATGGTTAGTAACATATTGCTAAATGGTTGCAAGACACAGGAAATTTCAACTGGGGAATGGGAAAAACTGAAAAATCCAAGTAAGTCTTGATTAGAACAGAGACTTGGTTTTTTGCTGCACTGAATTATCCCAATTTCTCAGCATTCAGAGCTAAGGAGTCTCAAAAAAACTGAGCATGTTCCACACTTACATGAGCAGACACTTGTTAGTCCCCTCCAGAACTCATGGGAAGATCTGAGTTATTTGGAGTTATTCACCATGACAAAAACTCAGATAACTTCTGTATTGCTCTCATTTAATTTAACAATGAGAATGGTTTCTAGCAGATATTAATATTCATTCACTTAAGATGAAGAAAGCCACAGTTTTACCTAAAATTGGCTAGAAGATAAAATTATAAACATTTTAAGACATATAAAAATGTCCTAGCTGCAAATTCAGTGGCAATTTAGGGAGGGGGAACAGTTTTGGACAAGTAGTTTCTATTTTATGGAGACAGAAAATGGAAGATAAATGGCAAAACTCACCAGCTAATGGGAAAGCTCTGATGCACAATTCAGTTCTTTTGACACCTATAATTTAATGAATAAATCAATGGTGTTATTATGAAATGGGTGCAGAAAGTGGATATTGACAAAATCCAGATACAGAACCCAAGAAGAAAGAGCAGCTTCTAGTCCATCCTATTCAAAATGTATCACCAGTTCTGCTGCTACTGCTCTGAAAGCCCCCAGGATTTCCTTGCTGGAACAGTATGAGCCCCTGAGGATGGGGGAGAAAAGCTGCTCAAGGAAATTATATTCCTAACAAACATTGCCTCAGGGATCACATGAAGACAGGTATCACCAAACAGAACTTAGTTTTATGACCTCCCTTTCTGGACCTTACAGGATTGCATTAGTTGCTCTCCAAAGTTCATCTGTATGCCATAGCCATCATAATTTCAGGGACAAGTAATTAGGGCTGATTTTTTTTTTTAACTGCAGAGATATTTCCACCTTTCTTTGGCCTTTTGCATTTTTCAGTGGTTAACAATGAACTTTTGAGTTGGCACGTACTAGGGAAGTTAAGTCTATTTATTTTCTTTGATGGAAATTTTAGTTGTAGAAATACTTTAGGTCGCTGAAGAAACTGTACACAATGTAATCCTATGGTGACACGTAACCTGATGCTGCCCTTTGCTATCTTTGTTGAAATCAATAGTAGTTATTTACATTTAGGTACCTTGTTGAATCAGGCACATATTTCAGAAGGAACACTGTTCTCCTCCTCTCTCTCTCTTCCCCAGTAGACTCCCTGCACTTGGAAATAACATTTCCATATTTTCATACTCTGTACAGCTACTTTTCCATGTGTTGATAGTACCAGATAACAGCCAGTTGCCCCACTGCTGTCTCTGTGCCCGAGTTGTTATAACTGAATCATGACCATACACACAGCCTGGGCACTGTAACAGTAACACAAATATTTCTGAGTTTCACTGAAATTGCAATGAGCTCATCTTATAAAAAAAAAAAATGCAGCAGGAGTGAATTTTATACACAGCCTGTTTACTCTCTTCTACATTTTGATCAAGTTATCAGTTATCTGAAAGTGAACTCCCCAGTTTGGAGGGTAACACCTCCAGAGCAGGGAGCTGAACTATGTGCAGTTGTTAAGGCCCTTGTGTCTGCCCCTCAACAGCTGCCAATACACACGTCCAGGGGCTCAGCCTAGGCCAGGGTGGGCACCTGCCATCCCAGCTGCACAGGGATATCTCTGTGGTGAGGGGGAGGCAGTGGGACACATCAAGGAATTAAAACGACTCCGAGGCTGCAGGCTTTCTAGCAAACCTGCACTGCTTTCTCATTTTTCTCCTTACCTTGACAAAACCAGCTATATTAACAGCTTCCAAGGAAAAGTGCAGGTCTGGTAGAATGCGCCACTGTAGGATAATCCTTGCCCAGTTCACAGGAATATTGATTTTAGAGAGAGTAAAAAGCATCACTGTGCATCCAAGTGTGTACCAGTAAATGCACTCGGCTTGTTTGGCTCCTACAGACAGACCCACGCCTGTCTCACCACAATTAAAACATGAGCTGACAGCACTGCCTAGATGCCAATAGCTTGTTCTGACTGAACTGGCACAATTCAAATGCTTCCTTAGGTAGTAGTGCAATGGAATCAACTGACCCAGGTTATCAGCACAAACCCCCTGCATTTCCCTTTGCAGAAATGCTTTACGATGTGCAATCCCAAGCTGTTATGATGTTCCAAGAAAGGCAAACTGAAAAATCCCCTTGCACCACTGATACTTGCTGTGAAAGAACACGTCAGGCTCTTTGTTTTGCTCCCAGGAAAGCCCATTTACTTATTAAGTATAGGAAGCATTTCCAGCAGGGTGTCTGTTGGGAGAGCCGTGGCAGCAGCTATTTGAACTTGTGTCGCTCACTGCAGGGCACAGCACTGCAAATTGATGCTCTAAGCTCAGAACTCCCACTATGAATTTCTGAACTTTTAATTTATTTTTTCTTCATAGCCCATTCTAATCTAATGGAAATCTGATATACAGTCCAGACATTCCTAAGTGACAAATTTCTATACTCAAACTGCTTGCTGCCATCCATATAGCATGGTGAGTTTTTGGATGCTGGCTCAATTAACAAGTGATTCTCTGAGAATACATCTAGTGCCATCTTTTAAGGGGAAAAGAAAATTATCACTGCAATCTTACTGAAGGAGTTACATTTTATATATATCCACGCATTTAGAAGAGAAAATGCGACTCTTCATACACATTAGGGTATAATTTAAGGAAATGAAATCTCTGGTGTGACTTAAATTACAAGGAATCAAAGAACACTTCTCAAGTATATGAAGCTTTTCTGCTCATACAACATCCTTTACTAATTATTACTGAACAGTATGTGTTCAGTGCTATATTAGATCATAGTTCATGTAATGCGTATTTGCAAGTAAAACTCAGTTGCATACTATTCCTTGTGAACAGCCCTCCATATCTGTCCTCAGAGAAGGAAAAGAATGTGAATATGTGGGCAGGTCCTTAGGATAACTGTACATATATGTAACAATTCACACAAGAAGCACTATGTCTAAAATACCTTTGTCTTGCTACATGGCCTTTCACTTGTAGTTACAATAACAATATCACTCAACTTAAATTAAATGAATACCATTCCAATAGGGTTCTCATATGCTTATACCATATATGAACTTTGTTTATATTCCATTTATACTGGAATTCACTATTATTTGTAGGGTCTCTGAAAGACATGGGAGAGGAAAAAAAATAGGCTGAGAAATAAAAATTGAGAGGGAGATATCCCTGTCTAATCTGAGAGCAAAAACTACTTTTTACCATAGATAGGCTTTAGATAGGCAGTTTCCTTCAATAGGACAATGTAGTTAGAGAGACACTGCAAAGTGTTCCTCCCACTGGGATTATATAATGGAATGTTTTTGTACCAACTATAGACACAATCATTTAATTGCGCAGATAAATCTTACGTGCAGGCAGAAGTGTGATTTCACTTTCTCCCTTGGTAGAAGTGATTTGGCTTTCCTGATTCTGCAGTCAGTGCGTGGCCTCAGCTCCATCTCACTGTGCCCCTTCCCGAGCAGGAAGCCTGCCAGATGGCTGCAGGACCTGATCTCACCTCCAGGCTGCTTCACAGAACTGACGCTGTCTTACGAGATTTTATCCAAGCTTGAAAGCTTCTTATTTCTTCCATCAGTCTCATAAACATTTCCATCCCTGATTAGAATTCTACTCTCCAAAAAATATCTCAAAACGCTTCACAGACCCACAGGTTGTGTGTTTATCACCTACTGCCGGGCTCAGTTATACCAGCACAAACCCCACACCATTGCAGTGAACTGGGATTGAACTAACCAGGATTTACACTGACGAAGCTCAACGTGTTATTTAAGCCCTTTTACACAAGGCTGCCAGGAGATGCTCCCTCTCCCCACTATAATATGCTGCACATTAAGAAAATGGAAACACCCAGTGGGCTTCTTATAGAGAAATAAAGAAAAAAAAAAGGGAAAACAAAGTCATGGGGCAAACAGATTTCGTGTGAAAAGCAAGTATAGAGTGGATCTGTTTTCCTGCCAAGTGTCAATATTAATGGTAACAAAGTGAGCTCTTGTTTTTGGTTGCCATGGCCAGGAACACACAATCCTGTAAACAGCCTATGAGGATTCTCATTCCCTCTGCTTTGAATCAGACTATACATTATGCAAAGGACATATGATACAGTAGCAGAAAGCCCTAAGAACTGAGTGAGGTCCAAACCAGCAATGCAATGTAGTCTTTCAGAAGTTTCAAGGTAGATCTTGGTCGTCCATTTTAAGGTGAGGGGTTGGTCTCTCCCTTCTATTTTTCCCCTCCCTTCCCTCCTCTGTCCTAGGGCCCCCTCTAGTGCTACCGGAGCAGCCAGTGTAGCTCCCAAATGACACGGGCTGAACTCTGAGCACTCGGCTGTAGAGATGCACTCACAGCCAGCAGGACTTTGCCCACATGCCGTGCACAAAGCTGCACTGAGGCGGGTGAGCTCAAAGACAGCTTTGAAACTGGAACAGGGGCTCTGGAGTTGGCTAACAAGTGCTTGCTGATGGGTGTTATCCTCATAGTTGCATTAAATAAACAGCGACAGGAACAAAAATGTCTATCCAAGGAGACATGTCTTTAATTCCCTGGTGAGATTTGCCTGGGATTCTCTAAGTATTAATGTGAAAGGGCCATCTGAGTGAAGTTCAGTCATCCTCTAGAAGCCAACAAACCCAGATGCTGGTTCACAATCCTACTGGTTCCACCATGCCCTGCAAGGACAGCAGCATCCCAAAAAGGTATAACTGGGCTGGGGTACAGCCTGTGGGGCAGTATCCCAAGGTTACTCCCCAAATTGTGAATAGTATTGTAATTTAGCATTAGTGGATCCCCAGACATCAACTAGAAGGGAAAGACAATAATTAACACTCAGCCTACAGTGAACTTCTTACCATCATCTTCAACTGCAAGAGCAAAGCTTCCTCATCCCAGCTTTACGTGACTAAGAAAGAGATCACAAAATCTGTGTCTGCTTCTTTTTTTGTGTGCATCTCAACTCGTGTACCCTGCCCACCCAGTCCCCTGAAAGTACAATGAGCACCTGCAGGAGCAGCAACAGACTGTGCTTGGTGTATAACACTGCACACACAGGTAGTACACCACAGATGTTTCACCTTCACTGAAATATCAACACCACTGGCAAAAGCAGGGTAGGGAATTTAACAATGGTGTGATCCCACCCTGGATGGTCAGACTTTGTCTGTTCTCACTTGGCCCCTCATTCAGTCCATTTTATCTCCTATCAGCTTCAGCTGTTGCGCCTTCCTCTTTTCCTGGTCCCTTTCTCCCTGACCATATGGTGTTTATTTTGGCTGCAAAAGACATTAATTTCATTATTCATGAGGAAATCTCACTCTAATTAAGGGGAAAAAAACCCAACAACCAAGAGACAACAACTGCCAAGCCCTAGTACATGATAAAATTAAGGAGATACTCAGTATCTTCCTTGATCTGCTATTTTGGTTGTGGAAGGAGACATTATTAGCTTTTGAAGAAAATGCTACAGCATTTGTCAGACAGTGGGCAGAAGCCACTAATGACAGCTGTGCCCAACAAAATTAATTCTTAGTAAAACACTAGTCCTCCTTGCCTAGAGATGTAAATTCTCAATGGTCTTAACTACACATAGATTATATAAACCCTGTGCTAGGAAATAAAATTGCATTACACAGCCAAACCCCAGTACTATGTACATTAACAGTACTTTCACCTTAACAGTGCAACACAGTTTACTGTGTGCAAAAACAATGCCCAGTCACAGCACAGAAAGTATATTAACTCTCCACAAATTCCTCTCAACATCTGATTCAAAATAATTTCTTTTCCTATTTGCCTTGGAACAAAAATGGTTTTGCTGTTTGCCTGAAAGTCTTAACAGCGTGGCTTTTCAGTAGCCAAAAAGGATTTGGTTTTTAATCAATTACTGTCAGGAGAAAAAAAAAAAGAAGGAAGTGAAAGCCTCACCTCACTTGGTCAGAGACCTCACCTTTATGTTTACTTTAGACACCAGACATTCTTGTCCCTATGGCTTCACAAGGAAAAACCAAATCAAAAACATACCACAGTAATGTACTTCAGTAGTTACCGTTTACTTGCCTGGCACATCAGAAAGACACCTGGGAACACTGTGTAACAATGGTTACTCAGTAAATCCCAAAGACAGATGTAGTGTTTACATTTGATATGCAATTTGGTGAACTGGATCTTGCCTAGGCTTGGATTTCAAGCTATAACCACGAGGATTAGACTGAAATAAATGAGATTACTTGAAGTAATTGCTAACTGAAGTTTAACTGTAATGCTTTTTTTCCTGAAAATTCCACAAGATTCTATGGCCAAGCTTCAGAAGATACCACACTAAGTGAATATTTCTGTTTGTAAGGGTTTGAAGTTCTTGCTCCAAGTACATTTAGGGATGGTGCTTCAAACAAAATCATGTCTCCATGCATCCAGTGATCTCAGCATCTCCATTCCAGAATACGGCTCCTTGAACTGATGAACTACATAAACTGTACTTACAGAGAGATGATTTCACACACAGAGAAGAAGAGCTCCTTCAGTGCACATCAGCAGTTACACCCCTTGATGAAGAAGGCCCACAGCTGAGCAACACACTTATTTAGTCAGCAGCAGAAGGGCAGGATTGGAAGGAGGTGGCCTGTGCAGTTCAGTCTCTCAGTAACTTCTTGAGCTTGAGAAAAAGTCCTTGAGCTGCTCAAGAGCGTCATGGGAATAAAAAAATGATAGATTAAAAAAAAACAAACAAACGAAAACCAGGTAAGAGAGTTGAATACAGGACAAAAGTTGCACAGCTGCATAGTTTGAACATCAAAATGAGTTTAGAGCAGATCAGCAAATTCAGCTCTCTTTGCTGACAGGAACAGTTACACTTACTGTTCTAGCTTTCCTTAACCAGCAAAAATTTAAATCCTTCTCAAAAAGCAGGACTAGAAGCCAAAAGAAAACTCAAGACCAGGCATTTTAGGAAGCTCTGGAGAAAAAAAAAAAAGGCAAAAAGCTTAATGCCAAGGAATCCTTAAGAATAACAAAAGAACCAATTTTAGCAATGGATTCAATTAAGAAAATGAAATGCTTTATACATCAAACCATGGTAAAGTGTGGACCTAAGAATTTAAATGTGATCTTTAAGTTAGCAATACACTTAAGAATATACATTAGCCAAAAAATCTGTGTAGTCTGTTCCATTTGAAAAAGCCCTATTCAAAAACATCCTCACTGTTGTTTTCTATTTCTCGTAAGAAGCTGATGTTTTCCTATGCTTTCTTTTAAAAAACCTGAAGATCATACTTGATTATCTAAAGGTCCCTCAGCCTTTTACCAGTCAATGACTACACAGTATTCTATACACTGCAAATTAAAGAGCAAACACTGAAAATACGTTTGCTTTTACCATTCAGCTGCCTCACCTTTTCCACATCAACTGCATTCACCTCACCTATTAAGAGAACAAGTTACACAAACAGTTGCTAATACCTCCAAAATGAATGTGCTCACTTGCTTATAAACTACATTTTGTTCAAAACAAAAACCCCAGAATATGAGAATAAACTTGCAATGCAAAGTTTGATGCTGCTTCTTTTTATCCGCAGTCCATTTGCCATTCCTACAGTCAGGGAGATTAATCACTGTAATAGTGCATTAAGTGCTAGTCTGTACAGCCAAATATTCTATGTGATTCCGCTCCCCACGTGATGCCTTCCCCCTTGTGTTGTTCATCAGCAATCAGAGATACCAGGATGGGTGAAAAAGAATTCACATCATGTCTTGATGGGGAAGTGAACCTGTTGCAGGCAATCTTGGCAACACTGGCTGACCTGGGTCCTGGGTCACACAGACCAAACTCACCCCAAGAGCTCTGGCAGTCTTCAGAAAACAAAGAGCCTTCCATCATGTCCCCCCAACCCCTTCTTTCTTACCCAAGAAATAAAAGGAAAGAGGAGTAGCACTCTTTCCAGAACCATGGTACCTTGTGCCCTCTCAAACAAACAAGAGACAACAGTACATTTCAACTTTATTAGAAAAAAACCCCAAAAGTTTATACAAAGCTCTGCATTTTACAGAAAACCAACCCCCCCAACCACAAAGAAATCCGACATTGCAAGCTGTATGCACTTCTGTTTTCATATACATACATATATATATGTACATACACATATATATATGTGTGTGGGCGCACGCGTGTGTATATATAGTGTGTGACGTATTTTTTTTTGCATGGTTTGCATTCATTATTTTACAAAGTTAACATTCAGTAGAAAAAAAAAGAGGATCTTTGTTACCATTATTTTCTCATATAAATAACTGTGAGCAGTCCCTCTGCAGATAGATAAAAAACACCTTTTCGTGTCATTCTGTAAAAAACAGACATTACTGAAATGGTACTGAAATGGTACTGAAATCTTTCAAGTTTTTTTCAATACCACCATAAAAATATCATCTAGCCCCCAATTCAAAATGCTTGTCCAAGGCATTAGAAGAGAAAGGACTGTAAGACAATTCTGGAAAGATCAGTTCTTTAAGCCAACATTCAGGTAGATAATTTTTGCTGGACCTCATACATTGGTGCGAAATGAGCACAAACAGGAGACCAAGCTCTCTCTGTCTGCCTGGAAAAGCTGGTTCTTTTGTCCGTTGTCACTGAGTCAAATTCCAGCAAAACACTCAGCAGTGTGAAGGAGCTGACAGACTCTCAGCTCACCCTCCTTGCCCTATGACAAAGCTACAGACTTTCTTGATGCAATTATACCAGCTCAGTAAATTTTTCCTACTCCATTCACCTTAAAAGGAGCTGTTGGACTAATCATGGCATGGTTAGACAGACATCAGGTTGCTGAATTACTGGGAGAAAAACTTAGCTAGAGGGAAAAATGCAAGACAACTAAAAGGAAGAAAATGCTATAGAAAAGAGCTACTGAGTGACTCCCAAAGCTCTGGTTTGAAGAAGCAGGAGCAGTAGAGAGATATGAATTGCAGCACAAAACATCCTTGTGTTTACTGCAGTTAATGGTGACAGCGTGATCCAAGTTAATTAACTTCCTGGTAAACAATCAGTCTTTCCGTCAAGCACCATGATGGGGAGAAGATTTTGAAGGCAATACAAGTGGTTGTGGTGACAACAAAGGTAATGAAAGTGAAGAACACAATGATGCCAATTAAATGGAGAGTAATGCCAATGAAGATGTTTCAACTCCCAGGGATGCTGGCAACAAGAAGATGGTTATATGGTTGGTGTTGATGATGGCCAGAATTCATTCATATGTCCATGTAGTCATCATCTTCATCAGTATCACTTTCCAGTGAGGATTCCTGGCTTGAGGTCTCTAAGATTTCCAAAGCTGGCTGACAAAGGCTCTCCTTCTTTACATTCGCTGCAGACTGAGCAGACAAAATAGCAGACTGATCCCAAAAAGAGAGAGAGAGAATATATTGCTAAATAGTCAGGATAAACCCATGATCACAGGGATAAAAGCCCACTGGTCCTTATTCCTTCACATTCAATAGCTCTCTTACTTCTATGAAAGATATGATATTCTAATGTGAAACAATATGACATTTACCAGAGGGCTTCCCCACAGTTAATGTTCTGGTAGCTTCCACTAACCTAAGAATTGCAATGGCTGCACTGGCTCACTCAGCCATTTTTGTAATTCCTTCCAATTCAGAAAAGGGATAAGGACTAGAATAGCTCTGATTTCACCCACGGCCAATATTTCACCAGTCCTTAAAAAACTGGCTCCTGTAGGTAACAGGTACCACCTTCTTCCACTACTTATACTGCCTCTGGTTATGAACTGCTGCTTCTTTCATACAAGTATTTTATTGAGGGGAGAATTAAGATAAAAACAATAATCTAAAAAAATTACTGTTTCCCTTTTATTACCTTTAATTTTTGCTTGGTCTCTTCTGAAATGCTGCCCTTTGGAGAAAGGAGGGTGGGAGTGGGTGGAGTGACAGTGATCTCAGGTGGAAATTTGGTGACAGATGAAGGTATGAAAAGCTTTGGCATGTTGGGCAGAACGCGAGTTTTTACTCGGGTGCCATCTGTCTTGTTCTGCTGACTTCCCAAAGTCTGTGAACTGGAGCTGAGTTCAGGCTTGGAACTGGAGGCTAAACAGAAAACAGGAAGAAAAAACATGTTAGAAAGTTATCTAGGATTTCAGGTGTCAAAGAAGAGGGAAGAGTTCATTGTTAGACATATGGCTGGCTCAAAAGGCCTCTTTCCAAGCCTTGCACAAATCAAAGCTTATAACCAGAAGAAATTGCCTCAAGATTGTATAATGACAACTGGAAACCAGTAATAATTCAAAAATATCTTACTGGACAGCACAAACTCAATCTGACCAAGCATGACAAGTGGCAGTGTAACACTGACCCACCTGCACCTAGTTAGAAGGCCACTACAAACACCATCCTCCCACTTGTTTCAGATACAATCATCTCATCTTTGCATTCTCTCTCTCTCCCTCCATTCTGTAAAGCAATAAATAAAGCTCCTTAGCTTCAGTTTTGAGTCTTTATTTCCTCCACCACAGCGCTGCCTCTTGAGAGAGGAACGCCTCAACAATTTAAGAAGAATATATGGTAACACTCGTCAAAATTTCCTCATTATTCTCTTCAAATCCTGCCATAAAACCCTCCGTGGTGTGCTCATGCTGCTGTCTCCCACACTAGTTAGCATCATTTCCACGTTATTCCCAAGTGTCTCAGCTTGTGGTCTTTACAATCCAAACTTGCTCAGAGAGTTAGTTAAGTACATCTCATAAGAAGGCTCCAGCCATTCCCTAGGCACTATCACATTACAAAGTAATACATACACACCAATAACCAGGAGGTGACAACACTTTCCCATTAAAAATTTGTTAAAAGATATTCCTTACTAATAATGCTACTTCATATGGAGTCAAAATTATTTTTTTAAGAAGCTGTATAAATGAAAACACCAGAGCCTTTCTCAGTCTGGTAATAATGACAAGTGCTCATATACATTTTTTCAGATGCAGTATTGTCAAATCCAGCTCTAGCAGATTTCTGGAATGGACACAGCCACTTATACACAGCAAAATAAAATGCCAGTTTCCTAATACTACCCTGAGAAACAAGCAGCAGTAGAACCAAGTACTAAGGGATGTAAAATTGAATTTTATGTTCTCAACTGTGCACAGGAATGCAAGAGCTGCCACGACAGATGAGGCACAGCTTTCCATCAAGGTCAGTGACCCATCTCCATGGGCAGTCAATCCTTTCAGACAGTACTCAGACACAGGATAATCTGCCTCTCACAAATAAGGAAAAACATACCTCATACATAAATATCTAGATTATGCTTGCCTGAAATACCAGGTTTTACATTTTTACAATTAAAACACCAACTCTTACTTCCCTTGGGAGAGGGCAGAGGAGGGATAGAACACATTAACTACTATAATGCTGGTTTTTATGATTACTCAGATTGAGTCAGGTTTTGTGAAGAATCGTTTCCTTCTGCTAAATATTCCAATAGTGTAATCCAAAGTGTTATCATACTGCCCCATGCAAGATTTCAATTAAAAGAAAAATTCTACTTTAAAGGATGCACAAA